ATCAAAGCTTGTCCATGTTGTGGAATTTGAGGCTTGATAGACTAAAATTCACGGAAAAAAAAGAATAAAAAAACAGTAATGTCAACTTGATAAAGGTATATTTTATTATCAAACTGACAGGTGTAAAGTAAACTGAAGTCTCTCTACTGGCCAGGTAGATGATCCTTCTTATATACTATAACAATGGATAAAAGTTCTATTAATTAGATTAACAAATAAGTCAACTCAGATCAACTAATGTCTAATCATGCTAAAAGACAACTCCAGCAAACTAATCATGATTTAGCTCTGTCTGGATGAATAATTAGACTCTCATCCGAAGTACCCTGATCTATCCTTTCTATAAGGATAATTAATATCGATCTAGTAGCATGTATCCGATAGGTACAGTCTACTTAGTCTATATTAATAGTACATATCTGAGTGTATATCGCTAAGCATACATCTTTAGCATGTATCTGGATATATGGCATGTCTATAGCATATCGTATGCATGTCTATAGCATGTCTCATATATAGTACAAGTCTGTAGTACATAAAGTATCTGTAGCTAGTATCACGGATATAAGCATGTGTCTTATAGCGTGGATCATGAAGTGCACATCTGAAGCAACAAGCTCATATTGCATTAATCTTGGTGCCTATCCAGATATGGTAAACATCCGTAGTCAATGTCGGAATACAAGTATAAGTCTATAGTGCCATCCATGTCCGTGGTGCCATCTATAGCCTATATCTTATATAGTATGAATCTTATAGTACTAGCGTATCTGAAGTCCATATCTTCTTATAGTATAAATCGATATCGTACATCTAATCCAGTGTACATACAGTTTATATCTAAATCTGGTAACTGGATGAACTGTCGGAATGCAGATCATAGTGGATGTATTCCACACTAGTAATAATACTAAATTCTTAAAAACCAAACGATCGTGTTTGTAATGAAATAGCCACCCAAACGCAACTTAATTGAAAACCAAAATTTATCAAATAGCACTCATTTATATTCATGTTATTTGATTCTATTAATAAAGCGCTCAAACGTACATCAACAATCATTTAAACATACTAAAGTAAAAATGCACGCTTATCTCGCACATCGTGTGAATGAACCACTCCTGATCACAGTGTATTCAATCACATACCATGATGGTCGTAATAAGTGATTGTTGTGCCAGAAGGGCTACAACTGTCTACAAAGATTAAGGTATTCTTGATAGGTAGATATGTCTGTGTTGTGCAACAACATGTGTGGAATACATCCACTATGATCTGCATTCCGACAGTTCATCCAGTTACCAGATTTAGATATAAACTGTATGTACACTGGATTAGATGTACGATATCGATTTATACTATAAGAAGATATGGACTTCAGATACGCTAGTACTATAAGATTCATACTATATAAGATATAGGCTATAGATGGCACCACGGACATGGATGGCACTATAGACTTATACTTGTATTCCGACATTGACTACGGATGTTTACCATATCTGGATAGGCACCAAGATTAATGCAATATGAGCTTGTTGCTTCAGATGTGCACTTCATGATCCACGCTATAAGACACATGCTTATATCCGTGATACTAGCTACAGATACTTTATGTACTACAGACTTGTACTATATATGAGACATGCTATAGACATGCATACGATATGCTATAGACATGCCATATATCCAGATACATGCTAAAGATGTATGCTTAGCGATATACACTCAGATATGTACTATTAATATAGACTAAGTAGACTGTACCTATCGGATACATGCTACTAGATCGATATTAATTATCCTTATAGAAAGGATAGATCAGGGTACTTCGGATGAGAGTCTAATTATTCATCCAGACAGAGCTAAATCATGATTAGTTTGCTGGAGTTGTCTTTTAGCATGATTAGACATTAGTTGATCTGAGTTGACTTATTTGTTAATCTAATTAATAGAACTTTTATCCATTGTTATAGTATATAAGAAGGATCATCTACCTGGCCAGTAGAGAGACTTCAGTTTACTTTACACCTGTCAGTTTGATAATAAAATATACCTTTATCAAGTTGACATTACTGCTTTTTTATTCTTTTTTTTCCGTGAATTTTAGTCTATCAAGCCTCAAATTCCACAACTAGTACACATGAAGATTACAAATCTTATTATTATCGAACCAAGTAAGCTACAACTCTCTCGTCTTAAAAGCAAGATTCTCCATCATATCAAGTATCTACTGATAGCTTTAAACCAGCAAGTTAATATAGCCCTTTTCGTACGCTCCAATTTTTAAAATGCTGGGTCAAACTCATACTTGTGTCGTGTACACATGCAGAAGGTCAACGGAGCTTCAATTTCTATTGTTCTGAATGATGATCCATAGGATTCCGAAATCTATCGACCTTAAACTTACGCGTTTCTTGATAGTAAACACCCCTTCAAACTTATATGAAACTTGTAGAGAATTCAAACGAGAATACAATAGTATCCATACCAAGTGTCTGGTGCATATTGCTCAACTAATATTTGATACGATAGTTTTTGCAATCTTTTGACTGTTTTCTAACTATTAATCAGTATCTGTTATCGAAACATTTTGTTAAGCATTACTAAACATTATAGACTAAAATTTTTCCTATCAAATGAGCTATTACTTGAAGCTCTGGCATAAATCTATCATGAAATATTAAAAATATTGTCCTGATTAAAAAATCGTCACCAGATTTTTTGCTTGCTATCACACGTAGATTTTGAAGGAAGATCCATGATTTTGCATGATACCCTTTTTTGACCATATATCGACAAATACTCACTGGATTCGTACAAAAAACAGACCATTCGATAGCTCTACGTTATATCCATCATAATGTAAAGGTTTAAAGTGCCAGATGTACGTTCCGTTTATAATTTGCTCAAAATCATATATTTTATGAACTCCAAGCACGGGATATTCAATTTTTTATTTGTTTATCTATAATAACTATACCATCGTATAGAAAATTGAAAAAGAAATGCAAGTTATTAAGTTTGAAGCTCTCGTTTACTTAATAAAATTCAGAGATATGACCCTTTGAAAATCGGTCATTTGGAACATTTTCCGTCATTACTCATTGGCATCACTTTCCATATCCTCACATCAAACATGTCCTAGTCAAAAAATGTACCCTCTACAACTTTCACTACATATACATCTCACATTCATATAGTAATTTAAAAAGTTTTACTAGCAGTATCTATTCAAAATTAACTATTTTATAAAATCACCCTTTTCTCAACAACCATGCTATCTACACAAATTTTATCTGCACTATCGTCATTTTGGCAAAAAACTGATATAGGAACATACTAGTCTCAAGGCTCTAGCATCACTTTTTCAAAAATCGATGTTCGATCGTCCAAAAGTTGAAATGTTTATGTAATACCTGACGCCGATCCTTTTCTGTAGATTAAATCATGATACGAATAAGCTTTGTTGTATTCGTTTCTTTCATTTATGCCGAAATAGTTCTCATTGTGTATTGAACATTTGTATTTATTGTCTATGAAGTACCAGTTTTTTTAAATTGCGTTTAACAACACAGGTTTGAATGATCCACTAGTAAATATTTGAATAACTTTTCAGATATATATATGGACCAATTCCTGTTAGTAGCCACCAAGTTGATTGATTGCTTTCGACAACTGCCATTTTTTATACTTTATCATCCTTACATAGATGATTGTTTTTCATTAAATTTGTTTTAATCTATTATTTCGAGCAAAAACTCAACTAAAATATTTAAATTATCAAAATTTATGTCTAATTTTCTGCTCTAATTCTCAAATCTAACACAAAGCTCAATTCAAAGCTTGAATCAAAGTAGAATGCAAGTAGAAGAAAGAGATAGACTATATGAGAAAGAAGTGAAAAAAAAGGTGCAGCTTTATAGATTTTGGGGATTCGTGAAATAAGTCATTTTAGACCATTTTATTATGACGGTGAATATCCCAAAAGAGTTGTATTTGGGCGCAGAAGAGCAATTGTATTACATAAACCTCATGGTTTGTTTTATTTTCGAGCGTCAGCATTATGTTTTGAAATATATACATACAAACACGGTGAAGGCTCCGTTTTGACTAGGTACTATGTTCAGTACGAGGGAAGCAAAAACCAGGAGTGTGTAGTCAACTGAATTATGTTAATTTGATCTATATCCACTCGGTCAGGGTACTTGTGAATGCTAGGCTATGAGCCAAGTTTTATTGTGCTGTAATTGACCTAATTTGTAAGTGCTATAGCGCAATTCAGTCCACTTCTTTTCGATAATCCTACAGGTGGAGTGTGCAGACTCAATACATATTTTCCTTTGAAAACCCTCAAAATATATGAAAAACAAGCTTAACTGTATACAGGTTATATAGCATCGCTTATGTGTCGTACCATTTGATGCGCATTTGAATTCTGAATATGTTTGCTATGTGCTAAATATGATAGTTGCTATAAAAGATGGTATGCTTGGACAATGAAACGGTGAAACTATATACAAAGTAGGTTTATAGACGCGTGATGGCAAAGACTCAAATGCAAATCTGTGCTTGTTTTCCTCGCTAAATGGCACTGTATAATCTTTATATTATTTCACAGTTTACAAATCGGGCAGGCAATGAAGATGATGGTATGATTGAGTCTGCAAGAGAGTGAAGCATGTAAAGAAACTTCTGAACAGTAGTGTATGTTTCTTTACGTGCGTCAATGTTCTATACCAGACAGCAGGGTCTCTCTTGCAAAAGGTTGTATAAATTTCGAAATAATACCTTAAATGAGGCACATGCACAGAGCCGATGTTGCAAAATCAATGTTAAGATTGAAACTGTAGGATGATTCAGTGTGAAACTTTTTGCCTTGGCATAAACAGCGGTCTATCTTATTTCGATTCTCGGTAAATGCATCGGATCAGTGCATACTAAAACTTTTCAGAGAGTATAAAGACATGCAACATACTTTCTCTCAAATTAATCCCAAAATGAAACTACAGACTATCTTCCTACTTTCGTCGGCTGTCAGTTCAGCATTGGCGACAGTAATTCCCTCGCAGCTTTCTCTGGAACCAAAAACTATTCACATATCGTCTACAGCGGGAGGCCTTAGTCATATTGCCTGGACATTAGAGGTTGGGAAAGTACTCGCAGAACGTGGACACAATGTCTCTTTTCTCACTACAGAGCCCTACATCAAATTCGGTGCTCCTTATGAGCCCCAAATCAAAACTATATCTATGGGACCTCATATTTCCAAGATTCAATTCCGTGATTTATTCGATACAGAAGATGCATTCTCGACCAAAGTTACAAATTCGTATAAGCAGGTGATCCAAGACACATACAAAAGGGATTATTTTGCTTACAAGAATATCTTCTCATCGTCAAATGCATCCATTGCGATCTGTGATCAACTTTCACTACCATGCTTCGATGCTGCCAAAGAACTCAATATTCCTATGGTCATCCACATGACTATGAGTCTATCTAGGGGTATTATTGAGGCCAGGTTTAAGACAAGCTAAAACTAACAACCCAATAGATGCTAGAGCTCCTTTTATCACGTTTTATCATTTGACAGATCAGCCTACTACATTGCATCAATCTTTCGGGCAGAGGTTTTACGAGCGTTACATCCTCCTGCCTAAATTTATTTACCGTTATTTCCCTGTGGCCATGGCGATCAAAAAAGCGCGCCAGGAAATCGATGTTCAAGGTTTCGATCCCTTGGCAAGAGAGAGCAACGTTATAAAGATGATTAACAGTTTCTGGGGAATGGAGAGTCCTCGGCCTGTAGGACCACTCGTTGAATACGTTGGCCCTATCATCGGTACCTCTTACGACTCGTTGCCATCTCATCTTACGGAATTCATGCAACTACATAAGCGAGTGGTGTATATCGCATTTGGTCAAATGTATACACCCAGCCATAAAGAATTCAAGGTGCTTTTAACTAGCCTGCTGGAAGCCTATGAACATGGCTATTTTGATGGCTTTATATGGTCGCTCTCAAAATCATCGCGCCAAGGCCTACCAAAGCAAGTGGAGACGAGTTCTGGGAAAGCTTATCTTGTGCAAGAATTGTTCGATAGCAGTTACACCGATCTCCGTTTTGAGCCATGGTCACCACAATTCGCTATCCTTGCTCATGATCATTGTAAGTTGTTCATCAGCCATGGAGGTGCAAGTTCCATTCACGAGTCTCTGTACAATGGCGTTCCTTTGCTGCTCCATCCTTTCACTAGCGATCAACCTGCCAATGCGCATAACATGGCAAATGCGGGAGTTGCTTTAGTCTTGGACAGAAAGATGCATAATGTCACTGACACCTTTGAAAAACTGAGCGCAATTCTACTAGACACAGACAGTAATTTTGCATCTAATATGGAAGGCATGCAAAAACTGGTGCAACTCAAGAGCAAGAGAAAGCATTATGCTGCTGACATTGTGGAGGAGGTTCTGTACACGGTGCGTAATCAGAGCGACATTTGGCATAGACGAGAAGCAAGAGAAGGCATGTCCTGGATCAAAGCAACAAACTGGGATGTGGACCTGGTTGCCATAGTAACCGTGTTAACAGTGGTCATCTCAGTCTGCAGGTTTACTCTTCGATTTCTGAGGAGAGCATTGGTATCACAAAAATGGAAAATCGAGTAATCAAACTGCTATTTAATTGAATAATAAAGAACTTTCTGGTCATTCATTGTTTTTCTTCTACTTTATTCTTCATTCAATCATGTCGGCCGACAACGCCAAAGAAACCGTATTCATCACAGGCGCCACAGTTGGTTTAGGCAGACTCACTGCAAAGAAACTGATTGATTTGGGCCACAAAGTCATTATCTCGGGTCGCTCCGAGAAGAAATTGCAAGATGCATACACCTTTATCCTTGCCGACTCTCCTCAACATAAAGAAAATTTGTACAGTGTCACTTTGGATCTTATTGATCTCAAAACCATAAAAGCTGCCGTAGAAACGATTGAGTCATTTGGCATTGACATTGACGTTTTGGTGAACAATGCAGGTGGCACTCTTACAAAGTTTCAACAAACAAACCCAGGCATTGAGGACACTATCTTTATGAACGCAGTGGGCCCTCTGTATTTAACCAAGCTCTTGGTTCCAATTATTGAAAAGAGCCAACATCCCAACAAGCGCATTCTGTTTGTAGGCTCGTCTATTCACAATCCCAATTCTAAAGGTGGAGGAAATAACGAGGCCACCAAAATCCCTCATGATGTCGATATACAAACCATCATTAAAGACAAGGCACACTGGGAGTCCATGAGATACTACAAGCTATCAAAGTTGGCATCCTTGTGGGACGCATTTCTGATTGCAGACAAATATCCACAGTTGACCACGCTTGTTTTCTGTCCTGGATTTGTGCCTACCACTGATCTCATCCGAAACTCAGGCTATCTGGTCAGAATGACACTCAAGTATGTTATCTCCAAATTCAACTTTACCACTAGCGAACAAGACGCCACCGATGGCTACCTCTATTACATTACCACGCCTGGCACCAATCTCAAATCAGGCGGATACTACGAAAAGAAACAGGAATCTACACCGTCAGACGATGCCATGAACAAAGCTAAACAACAAGAATTCTGGGATCTCGCCATGCAATCGATCGATGCATTGACTTAATGTAAAACTATCTTTCAATCCTTATTTATTTGATAATAAAATATGAAAAATACGAGAAAATGTATCGTTGTAGCCAAAAGACAAAGAAAGCAATTCTATCACAAGCACGTTAACAAAGCCGTCCTTGAACATCCTAGCCCAAATCACTGATATACTTACTACTTCTTCTTGGAGACACCAACGGTACGTCCACGACGACCAGTAGTCTTGGTGTGTTGACCACGAACACGGACACCCCAGTAGTGACGGAGACCACGATGGTTACGGATCTTCTTCAAACGCTCAAGATCATCACGGTACTTGGTATCAAGGACGTTGGAGATGACTTGAGAGGACTTACCGTCAACGATATCCTTTTGTCTGTTAAGGAACCAAGTGGGGATCTTGTATTGAGCAGGGTTTTGGAGAATGGTGACGATACGTTCCAATTCTTCAGAAGAAAGCTCACCAGCTCTCTTGGTGAGGTCAATATCGGCCTTCTTACAGGCAATGTTGGCGAAACGACGACCAACACCCTTAACAGAGGTCAAAGCAATTTGAATCTTGACACGACCGTCAACATTAGTGTTGAGAAGACGAATAATGTGTTGGAACTATGTACTCAATGTTAGTCAAAGTGCTGCTTGTTTTCATCTCAATGTAATCATATCATACGTGGTTTCTTTCGGGAACGACGAGAGACTATAATATACAGGTAGATTAGTATTTCTGATCCATCCATGAGTGTCCACAGTTTATCATCCATCTACATCTATTCTACATCATCCATTATCCCCCATCCTCTCTGATCATCCAACATACCATGGCTATGAAGATTGCAACGAAAAAGAAGGACCTTACCCTATGCAAGCAACTTCACCTTATTGCCATGAAATCTTTCATGAAAAACTGCGTTTAAAACATCCGTTGTTTTAGCTGAACGGTTCGAACATTCTTCGAACCGGACAATATTGGTAGGTTTACAAGGAACCAGGGTTCGCATGCCAAATGTATACTCAACAGTGGCTTCGCCCCCCTTCTAAATTCCCCCATACAATCAGAGCTGCCTTTTTTTCTCTCCACTACTTTTGTTATACATTCAAGATGCTTGCAAAAGAGTTGCTTGGTCGCTTATTAACAATCACTCGTAACAGAGTCAACACAAATGTCTTGAGAGCAACACAACAGAGATGCGCTTCCACCACTTCCGCCACCACCACCAACACATCAATTAACAATACCCTCCCTCTATTTGACAGGGCTCTTTTGCACAACTGTAAATATACAAATCTTTATATATATCCTTTCATGCATGTACTCATATAGTGAATATAGCCAAGAACACAATGTCCGTAGCAAGCGTCTCTGAGCATGTCTCACGCCTTCGTCCTTTCTCTGTGCCTGCCGCTCCACAGCCCATAGTATCTCAACCCACAAGCAGTAAAGTCGTAGAAGAACTCGAATTAACCAGTGTACTTCGAAAGCGTCGTTTGAAGATGAACAAGCACAAGCACAAGAAATTGAGAAAGAGAACTCGTGCCTTGAGAAAGAAGCTGGGTAAATAGACAATCGTAGTGTCAGCGAATCAACAATTTATACTAGAAAAATGTACCATAATTTTACACATAAAAAAAAACAAAATTTGCTTTCAAAGTTTACTTTTTGTATTAAGGATTTACTGGTAATTGATGGGTTGAGGCAATTTAAAGGGATGTGCTTCAGTATTGAACACATAATCATTGAGAGAAATGCAACCCTTGTCTGCAAAAATGAGATACAAGTATTTTAGGGTCTCAGCAAAGAAGAAACTACAGCAAGAGGGATCTGGATCAGTACGCATTTGCATAAATTTCGGCTGCAACTTACCTTTCTTGAAAGTCTTGTACTCTAGCTGGAACTTGATCTACATTGTCGATGCGAGTGAACCCAGCATTGGTCTTTGCATAACTCTCAATAGCAAGGTACAGTTTCCAAGCGAGATCTTGATATTTCTTGTCGCCAGTCAAGCGGTAGTAATAGAACACACTTTCCAATGTTTCAGGGCGAAGGTCGTAGATGGCATTTCCAATCTTGAATGTTCGCTCCACAGCTCTTTTTCTCTCGTTTTTGCTAGTTGTGCTTGCTACCTCGACCTTCAATGTATTCCCAAAGAGGTTGTTCAATCTTGTCCCTAATTTATTGTCTTGCGGGGTCCAACTCCAAGTTTCTGGTGCTATATCTGTATTGGTCTTTTCCCATGTTTCAATGCAAGATGTAAAGAAGGTGTCTGCAAATGTTTTGTACTTTTGCTGTTTCGCACTATTAACGGTTTGCGTGATACCCAAGAGAATGTTGCCCGGCCAGAAGCAGATCTACAAGAGATTTAGTAGGATGCTACGTGCACAAAATATAGTGAATTACCAGTTCCTGCGATGAGTAATAGACTGTGCTGTTGCTAATCATGGCGACATACTGAATACGAGGATCCTGAACTGTGGGGGAGAGCATGTAGTTCTCAATGCTTTCCACAGAGTTTTGCCAGATGCGCAATAGATTTGCATTCTCTTTGTTTTGCAAAATGTAGTTCTTGATCAGATATTCGTAGAAGCTATCGCCTCCTCCTGCAATTGTGATTGTGCTAGCATTCACAGGAGCAAATGGTCTAACGGTCCAGGAGGTAGGAAATAGCCCTGGCATACGGGTTGGCTGCTCAATGGCAGCATTTATCAGGCCATCTGCTAATATCTTGTATTTGGAATTTCCTGTAACTTGAGATAAGCGAGTAAACTCCATAGAATAGGTACCAAATTCTGCAAGGTTGATTGTTCCTGAGATTACAGGTGCATTTCTATGGATTGTTTTTAGTGTGTCTGCTTGTATATTAACGCCCAATAAAGCTCACCTATTCAAATCCATGAAAGTATAGGGTACCTTGACTCTTTTGCCTGAAGGTGTAACACTATCTACAAATAACGGCAGCAATGTACGTTCTGCCACTTCAATGGCCTTGTCGACGAGTACACGATTAGGTCTCAGGTCATTAGCTGCAAGGAGACCACCTAGATATCGAATATTGGTTTCAAATCCCTTAGAGGGATCTTTGGATTTGGTGAAATCAATGTTTTTTACGAATTGGAGCGCCTGTTGATAGTCTTCTTCTAGTCCCATGATAAGCATGGTATCGAGAGCATCAACAATGCTAGCTATGTAGGTAGATTATGTCAAATCCAAGATTTGTAGGTTTATGTAATGGTTATGTACCTCCCCAGCCGTTTCTATATAATCAATAGCATGAAACAGTGAGTTATTAGTTTTCGTCAATGCAAATATAACATGTACCTGGAATCAGAAAATCTTCTAGACACTGGCAGCAGTTCATCATGACCGAAAGCGTATTGTTTATAACCATTATACGCAAACTGAAACGATCCTTTGATGCGTAGAGCTCTTTCATTGTTGGCTGTGCATAAATCTAACGGCGTAGCTCTTTTGATGACAGTGGCCGCTGAGGAAGAGATGGTAAAAGCTGCAATCAAAGCAGCGCAAGCAGATATTCTATGAAGTAGCATGGTTATAATGGATCAAGCAAAAACCGTAGCAACGAATGTTGTCATATTTATACGAGAATCAATCCAAGGGGATAAGAGTTAGGAGAGGGCCTGCTGGTAAGCGGTGATGATGACCTTCCCTTGTTCTGCTGTGTGTCCATCATTGGTCATATACAGATCATTCCTATTTACACAATAACCCCTTGTGTGCAGCTGTAATGTTTCTGAAAAGCTGTGATATGAACAGAATGCATATTTCTGATGCATAGCTCAATTCTACTCGTTAGTAGGCCACATACAGCCAAATCTATGAATGAATAATACAGAGGATAGTCTCCCCATTATTGTTGTATACTGTTCTGCTCCTCTTTTGTATAAATGGAATGAGATTGCTCCTATTCCATCTATTCGTTATGTTTGTCTATAGTGAAACACATATTTGTTGAAAATACTTAGGATACGAAGCACTCATGTACGATGTAATTCATTAAAAAAGATACATGAAATCCGTGGTATTTAATGCAGTCAGAAGATGGGTAATCGTCATAAATCACACCAAGAAATCATTCTCTATGCTCACCGTAGCAACATGTAAAAGGCTATGTATATGCAATGGTATTATCGAAACCAGTAGTATTATAGCACCCCCCCCCCCTCCTCACTTGGTGTGGGTGTGTGTTCAGCGAAATCTAGTGATCATTTCAACGCAAGTCGTCCGGTGGCAAGAATCATGATGCCAGCATTACTGTACGGTTGCATATCATAGATTTCAATGTCATTAATCCATGCATAAAGCAATAATACTGTTTTTATAAGGAGTGCTGATCATTCACTGTGAACGACTGACATCCATTATCTCTGCTCCATTCTATCCTACCCCTCGTTGCCACTACAGCAAGATGTAAAATGTCAATTTTTTTTTTTTTTTTTTTGCGGATTCGTATTTATTTGTTGTAGTGATGGATGATAAATAAAGAAGAGTGTCTAGGGTCTTGTCAAAAATGTGCTGATATCATGGTTTTTATATATATATACAATTTATTTCTTCATTTTGGTTTCTGTGAACAAGACATGTTGTTTGACTAAATCAAATGATTAGCGTTTCTAATTTTTCATTTTATGAAACAATTAATTACCTTGAGGATCGTATTTCATCAAAGAAAGCTTGGGTGAAATTCTAGGACGACTCTTGATGTAGTTGTAGCCAGTACCAGCAGTAGATAATAACTTGACGAGGATGACTCTTGCCTTTGCTTTCTTGGCCATTTTGAATGTGTAGGTTGGAAATAGGAAGAGGAAGGGGTAAAGTACTCCGGGGTGCTTTTCTTGAGAGGTTCAATAGTCACATTGCCTACCTGTTAGGATGTCTACAGGGTCGGGAAATGTCAAATTGAAGATGGATGGATCTCCTCTACAAATGCATCTCTAGGTAGATCAAATATAGTTGTTCCTCCCTGCGAGAAATTGATCATGGAATCCATTGCAGAAAAGAATGAATGGCCTAATTATATGTTCCGTTTGGTAAGATTGGTTCAAAGGCTTTCACTGCGCACATTTGTCCATTCATCTCTCTAATTCGACCGTGGCATTTAACCAGGTATCGATCAAAAGTGGTTTCTTCAAACTACTAGTTGAATTGCTTTATATACATCATTTAGAGTACTGTCATTGCCTTAGAGACTACACAATAATAGTAATATAGGGTTTACATTCTAAGTATCGCATGCAATGTTGCTAGGATGGCGATTTTGTATTTTGCACTAGGTTTCACCTTTGAGCTCGGTATTTGCAAGTATCAAATCTAACAGATGCCAGAATGCACAACAAAAGCAAATAGCGTACCCCCACTAAGCGAAGCTCTTTTGAAAACGTATTTTTCTCCCTAGTAGTATCACAAATATCGATGTCTTCATCAGTAAAGCCTGTGGCCAGCCAACCAAAATTATTTTGCATTCCTTGTTTGCAGCTTGTTTCGGATTGGACAGATTCTGACATTCCTCGACTAAATTGATCTATTTTGCCAGATTCGACTATATGAAATGTGATGACCATCTCCTGCATCCTTAAGCTTTCTAGGAGTACTTTTCAAGGCATATCCAATGGCGCTATTTATGGTAGCTGTTTTGATTGAACTTACTGAGTAATGTACAAAAATATGAGACGACGGCTTTGGCGAAAATGTGGATATATTACATATGAAAGTCTCATAAACAAAGTTTCAGGGGTTGCGTTGTTGGCCCAAACCCTTAAATAACGCCCATCTCTTGAGTTGGGCGTTCTGCATAGCTTTCCTTCATTTTTTAAAAAAAAATGTGCAAACCTAGTGTAATAAGAGAACAATGGTCTCATAGAAGGAAGACATATGTACTAAGAATGGGCGGGTCGGTGTTACTATTCGTATGTCCGTAACCTTGGGCAATACTTATTATAAAACACGAGCCTTTCAACACTTCGGGTGGTTTCCTGACCTACGTTTCGCTTCGGTGGAAACCAACCTATGTTCAGACGGCTCGCGCTGCCGCGGACCTTTGGCTAATATTGCAAAATTAATATAGCCAAAAAGTTAGAAGAACCTTGATTGTTGGCTGATATATAATCACTAATCAAATGAAAGTTTATGCTTCGGATGGTTCTCTACCTTTACTTAGCTTGGGTGAGAGCCAACCTGCGTAGCGGCAGTTCGCGCTACCAACTGCCCTTGTTCGTCTCATCAAAATACTGCTATTTTCATTTTGACCTTCCACTTACACATGAAAATCCTTCATCTTATCTGTGGATCTGATTCTTATGTAATGCTCTACATCCATATACACGTAGCTATTTCATATACGGGCAAACAGCATACTGGTATTTCTCCTTTTTAGTCCTTAGTGTCCCTAATATAGCAAAAACCGAGTGCATTTGAGCTGCGTTTTCTCGCGTTAGAAGCCGTTTCAGACTGTCAGAATATCACCAAACAGCTGCTCTCATCTGGCAGTTACTTATTGCCACTGTTGCTCAACTTTTTGGGGACCAAAAAAAAAAAGGACAAAATTCGACCAAAAAGCATGAGGGTTACCTCATGGTTTTCATCAAAAACAAACGATTGTGTTTTTGACCTTGATAATAAAGACTTTTACTATGGTATATATTAAATCAAATTGTTGCTATCAATCCAACGCAACCCCTGAAGCTATTTTTGTGGGAACTTTATATGGAAAATCTCGACTTTTTGGTCAGAAGCCTCATTTCATATTTTCATAATTTGCTCAATAAATCTATTCAAAACATTTACCTGACTTGGTACCATTGGATGCGTCTTGAAAAGTACTTTGAGATTGTATTAGGAAGCAAAGGATGATCTTCACAACTTATATAGTCAAATCTTATAAAATAATTGAATCAAGTCGAAGAAAGACGCTTTCTGTCCAATCTTGAACAGAAAAAATGTTCTGGATTGGAATCAATTTTGGCGGCTGGTGCGGCCGGCTGGCAGACTCAATGCCCTCCTTGTCATCATGAAGGCAATACAGTAATAGATACTTTTGAAGCGTATGGAAAGTAAGCGGCAGATCATATAGCATTATCGTTAGCTATGCTGCTCTTTTTGAATCTATATTTGATAACGCCAGTCTATCAAAATACTTGTTAGATCAATTTCTTTCCTTTTTGAGGCTTTGAAAGTGTTTAGGGACCATAAATTTATCATGTTATGATATTACATACAGGCAAAATCTCTTGACGTTAAATTATATGTATATGATTAAATTATGTACAGGCTTTAAAATACATTGGTCATAGCAATCAATGGACAGTACAAGCTTTGAAACAAGATGCAATCATAAAAGAGCATAATATTGAAGCTAATGACAAGACGTGGTTGTTTTTTTTATTAATGTGTATTTGAGTTTATGAGATTACCATACTTGATGGATTAAAATATTTCAGATTTTTGAGGCTATTTTGACTTGTATAGATAGAGGTAGCAGAGATATAAGAACGACTTGGCCTTGTATAGATGTCAGGCATTAATTGTCTTGATAATTGATTGAGTAAGAGGAAGCACAGATGAGAGTAGGGCTTGACCTTGTATAGATGTAGAGATGGTATATTTGAACAGTCTTGTCATTTTAGGAGCTTGTAGGAGGCACAGAGAACTTGGCTTGATAGCATTTGGAGAGGACAGCTTGCTTTAGATGAGATAGAACATGAGATGGCAGAGGCAACTAGATAAAGATGAGATGAGTACACAAGTACTGTGGCATGAGTGCGTAACAAACCATTTGGGCAAAGAAAATTGACCATCAATAAAAGGAACCAACACTATATAAACAGGTACCAAGGTGTAAACTTGCTTCACCTATCACAAGATTATCGACACGCTCAAGACACCTTTATCTCGGATCATAGGGCTGAACCCAATTCTCGTCGGCAATAAAGCCTGTGGTCATCCCGTAGCATGACCAAAGGATTTGTCCTGCAGTCTACTCATGATTATGAAGCTGTGATCCTACTCAGTCCCTACAAAAAAGTAGTTTTTCGGCACTATGTAATCAATAGGTTAGTCAACATGGCTCATACGTCCAACAAGATAATAACTTACTCGCACAGTTCACCAAGGTCTGCATGTATCAAAGATAGTGTGGCCTTTTTCTAGCATGGACCAAAAGACGTAGAGAGGACCATGGATTTGTAAGGCATTGTATGTAGCAGTAGTAGAGGCCAATAGACAGTAGAGTATTTGATTTACTTGACCATATGTAGAGAGAGAGAGAGCCCAAATGTCTTGTAGAGAGTTTGTATGTATAGAGTATTTTTGCTTGTTGTAGAGAGATGAGATGAAGAAGAAGAGGGAAAAGCTGTTGAAACAAATCCCTATTTATATCCTTCTCATCGACTTTTGTGTGAGTCTAGTGCCCTTGCCACACTCAAAGTCGTTCCTTTTGCTTTTTTCCACAATGTGCTTATTTAGGAACGCAAGAGTAGTACCATTTTGACGTTTGACACTTGCTCTATTTGATCCGCTTCGTCCGAGGCTTTCAACTGTTTTCTGTCTCGAGTTATGTCCATTTTGCTACTTCAAAAAGCCCTTTTTCCACCTTCACATGAAACGAGTTCCCCCATCTCTTCCTAGATGTAATTAACAGACAACTTTTCACTGGTTCAACCTCATCAAAAAGTAAACAAAAAATGTCATTTGACACTGAAACAAATGCAGCTGGTTGCTTGATTAAGTAATCTTTTTTTTTACCTCTCCTTAATTTCTCTCTCCAAGATCATACGGTTCTCGATCCATCTCTCTTGTTGTTTACATCAGCCATAAACTGTCCATCTAATCGGACAATACGAGTGTTAAGGTTGGCTTTCTTGTCGTTTACATCACATCGGAGCCAGCATAACTGATTCTGGACCAAGAGACAAGCGTACACCTTGGAAAACAAGCGTGCCATATGAATATTACTGCGGCAATCTCCATGGAATGGAACATAATGGATTGTTTTCGAACCAGTGCAAGTAAATCTTGTTTACAGCTATCATGGTTGCTGTCAATGATGTCAATCAAAGTGTTTGCGCTACTAGATATCATCAATATGCCCACATTTACATAGTGAGTTGGTCATTCTTGTGTATCATTCCTGCAACCTGTTTGTAGTTCTTATGCCAAGAGTATTCATCTCATAAAGAGTCAACACGTTTCATATCATTTTTTTTTAGGGATCGTCCTCTTTTAGAAGGTATTCGAATCATGCAAGATCAAAATAATTCATTTGCTAGGCAAAATTAAGCTTTAAAAAAAATCACATGTAAAGTAAACAAAAGGACATGAATTGAAGAGTGATAAGCAAGTAAATGGCCAATTTGTGGTTAAAGAGAGGATATTTTATTAGAAGGTATGTACATCATTAGAAAGCAAATCACTTGAGGAATCCAATGGTACTATTTTCAGGGTTCTAAGTCAAGTACACATCGCGAAATTCATCAAACAAGGCCGTGGGATTTCCAAAAGAAGGAGGCTTCTGAATTAAACTTCACCTGCAATATCATTTTTGTCTGTGTGCTATTCTGTTGCTTTGGATCATGTCACGCTCCCCCTATGTCACCAACCTGTTCTTTTTGGGTCTCACGTTGGGTACACTACCCATTTGAGAAGGAGTCTCGCTTTCTCGTATAATCGTTTCTGTGGGTATTATTGCCGTTATATTATAGGGCTTTGAGCAATCAAGGAGAGTCTTCTTTTAGCCAGCCAAAACGGATTACAATCCCGCTCGACTTTCTGTCACGATTCGTTTATTTTAGCTACTATGAAAGTTGTTGTGATCATCCTTTACAGCCTTAAGATATCTGGGAGAACTTTTCAATGCGCATCCAACAATGTTGGGTATAATAGATATCTTGATTGAACTTGTTGAGCAATTTATGAAATTATGAAATGACCTTTTTGGCGAAAATGTCGAGATTTTATATATCAAGGTCTCACAAACATAGTTTCAGAAGTTGCCCTGAATCGAGAATTAATATTTATCCTAGTAAAAGTCTTCGTTATCAAAATCAAAAACGCAATCGTTTGATTTTCAATGAAAACCATGAGGTACCCCCTCATGCTTTTTGGCGATGTTTTCGAGATCCCAAAAAAAATTGCTCAAAGGTGTTCGTAACCGCTAGGTGAGAGCAACTGTTCGGTGCTACTCTGGCAATCTAAAACGGCTACTAAAGGGAGAAATCACGGCTCAAATGCACTCAGAGTTTGCTGTGTTTTGCATAGTTTTGGGTAATAAGAGGCAATGCAAGTATGCTGTCTGCCCGTATTGAATTTATTTCCATTGCTACAGATGCGGATCTCGTGAAAGCACAAGATCTAAAGTTACATGTTGCTTAAGGCGGGCATTTATGGGATGATAGAAGGCTATAAATCAAATTTCGAGATAAACCCTGTTTTCTTTTGTATCTATATCCATTCATTTCTACTGATAGCTGGTAGGCTCAGCCTTACAGATGCTATTTGATGTCAAGAAGTATTCAAAGATAAGTATTATTCTTTTGAACAAAACTGTATTAGCTTCTTGATAGCTGGTAAGCTCTTGTCAGTTGCATGAAAAGGAAAAAAAAGGGGACATTGAAGACAAAGTGCTCCGGATCCGTTGAGATATGCCACAATTAAAGGAAAGAAAGAGCAACAGATCGCCAACTTTCAATGCAAAGATGCATTCTTGTAGATGTGTATCAGTGAATAATGGAAAGTCTTTAGTAAATTGACCTAACAAGATTGCTTTGGCATCGTTTCATACTGAATATGGTACCTCAAATAGAATGCTGCTTCAGGACATAAGTCTTTTGTAGTATAACAAGGATATAAAGCGAGCTGAAATGGCCAGCCGAATCTACCTGAAGCTTTGAATCCCAATTTATCAGGTTCAAGCTTACAGTTACCTCATGAACACCTCTGTTATCTACCTGGAGCCGTAATTCACCCGTTTGATAGCTTTTAAACACACTCGCTTTCTCAAGCTAGATTCATATACAAAAGAAACGACTTCTAACGTTGGTGTAGAAGGTCTCAAAAATTTGTGTGAGGCGCTGCTTTGTGATCATTTTCGTTCGGATGTCAGGGCTGTAAACACTTTGATTGCAAAACTGTACACTGTCATGGACGAGGTTGCTTAATTTGACGATATGAAAAAGCAGCTTAAGATTCACCAGAGGCTCGCAGAATCATTTCCTGCCCGAAGAAGCTTCTCAGCTTCTTGCCTACCAACAAAGAGAAAGCATCAATGATCAATGAAGAAGACTTGAAAGATGCTATGTCAAACCTGTTAAGTGATACGTTGGCTGCCGAAAAGGCAAGCCCTAGCTAAATTGTCCAAAAATGATGTCTCAAGACAGAGTTTTGCTACAGTGGCGCATATTATCCACCCTCTTATGTAAAACTTTGGCAAAGACACGGTCAACGAGGACGTTCATGACTAGACACTACGAAACACACTCTGTTGAAAGCAAACTGCACGAGATACAGAGGTTGGATGCGCCAGAAGCAAGCACATTCAAGATAAACATCATAAAAATATCGAGTATAGAAAGTCAACTCATCCTACAGTACTGACAGGAAACGATCGTTGATGTGGGACATGTATAGCCTAGTTTTACTTTTGGTCGCGACTCGACTTGGACTCCATGAACGGTCCTTTGCTAATGCAGGCTGCTGATTTCAGTCTCAATGGTTACCGAGAGGTGTTGATCAGTAGGGGATTCTGCAATTATTCGTATTTGCTCACCAAGTTCAAGGTTCAGGTTTACAACCATCTCACAAATACCCTGTCATGGCCAGCTGAGCGCTTCTGAAGAAGTGCATCAAGAACAAATAGCTAAACCTAGATGCGAAGAGGCTTGTTTTACCATGCATCTTATGTGAGGGTCTCTAGATGCCTATACAGTTTGGCTTATCAATGACATATAAGCAGTTGTATACAAGACCAGAGAGTTGGAAGTGCCTTCAGCGTTGTCAGATATCAACAACGGGGTATTTCTGATTTGCTAGAATCTCCAAATGGATTCAAAGCCTGTACTCGATTTCAGAAAGCTTAGACTTACACTTGTGTTGAATATGCCAATTGTGTCGATGTTACCATAGCGGCAACTCCAAGAATCAACAATACTTCCATAAGACTATTTGGAAAGACGCTTACAAAAATGAAGACTAGACATTATATTTTGTAAACTCAATAGATAATTCCTATTGTTTATGCATGTAACTATATTGTCTCTTGAAGAGTGCTTTGTATACCCAATCTAACCTTGCACAAAACAATTGCCATAGGTAACTGAAATCTGGTGCGGTAATTTGCCTTGCATACTCATGGTGATTGCGTAGTTTCATGCATTACTGTGATGGCAGGTATTTGAGGCAGACAACAAGAATAAGAATATGCAACTTGCTTTGTTCTGATGTGGTAAAATATGTTCATTTTTGTTTTTTTTTTTTTGTTTTTACAAATTTTCTATTAAAGGCATCAAAATAGGGTAGCTGATCAAGAGTGTGTGTGGGGGGATTTGGATAATTTTTTTTTCTGTGGTTGGTATGAGACATGCTAGTATTTGTATATATATAATTGTGTTTTGGGTGTATTGACAAAACCTTCTCTCGTTTACATAATAGTACATTTACTGCCCTTTTCCTCAGCAGGCTTGGATGGCAAAGGCTTATGCTCTGGTTCAGCAGCAGCGGCAGCAGGAGATGATACAGGAACAGCAGCAACAGGAACAGGGGCAGCAGGTGCGGCAGTGGCAGGTACAACGGGTGCAGCAGGTGTCTCTGGGTGAATAGGGTTGACTTGACTAGCAGCAACAGGGACGGGAACAGCAGGCTCAGGCTTTTGAACAGAGGAACCAGCAACAGTGCTCTTGATTTGCTCTTGCACAGCAGGAATCTCATTCTTGACAGCATCCACCCTATCATCGACACTCTTTTGAATAACAGGTGCTTGTTCCTTGGCCTCTTCAATAGTGGCACCAACAGCAGCCTTTGCAGATTCAACCTTATCATCCACACTCTTTTGAATAACGGGAGCTTGTTGCTTGGCTTCTTGAATGGTTTCAACAACAGGAGCCTTAATAGCTTCTACCTTAGCATCCACACTCTTTTGAATGACAGGAGCTTGTTCCTTGGCTTCCTCAACAGTAGCATTGACAGCAGCCTTGGCAGACTCGACCTTGTTATCGATATCCTTTTGAATGACAGGTGCTTGTTCCTTTGCTTCTTGAATAGTCTCAACAATAGGAGCCTTGACAGCCTCTACCTTATCATCAATACTCTTTTGAATAACAGGTGCTTGTTCCTTGGCTTCCTCGACAGTAGCGTCAACAGTAGCTTTGGCGGCAGTTGCATTTTCGACCATAGCATCCTTGGCTTGTTGAACAAGGGGTTTAGTCTCAGTTTCAGTAGTTTCAATATCGCGCTTGACGTCATTTTCGGCTTGGTCAGGGCTAGACTTTGTAGCAGAAGTAGGCAAAAGAGATGCGGCACCAGCAGTAGCAGCAGAGACAGTGGCAACAGCAGCAACCTTGGCAGATTCAGCCAAATTGAGAACATCGGTCTTGATGTCAGACACAGTGGAAGCTTGCTCCTTGTCATCGACAACAGCAGATCGGACAGTTTCGGTCAATTGTTGAGCTTGAGCACCGAGATCTTGAACTGCAGTGGTGGCAGTAGTAGCGGTCTCCTTCTTGGAAACGGTAGGATTGGCCTTCTCCAAATAAGCATATACATCAACAGCACCATAGCCAACGACAGACTTGACAGCATAATCAACGGCAGACTGCAAATCAACTGGGGGTTCTTGCTTGGTCTCGGTAGTAGCGACAACAGCAGGTGCGACTTCAGGGACAGATTCCTTGATCTCCTCAAGAACATCTTCCTTTGCCTCAACAGCCTCTTCCTTGATCTCATCAACAGCAGCGGGTGCAACTTCAGGCACGGTCTCCTTGATTTCTTCGAGAACATCTTCCTTGGCTTCAACGACTTCCTCCTCGGTATCAACAACATCTCGCTTGGTTTGCTCAGTTGCAACAGGGGCAACCTCTGGGACAACTTCCTTGATCTCCTCAAGAACATCTTCCTTTGCCTCAACAGCCTCTTCCTTGGTCTCATCAACAGCAGCAGGTGCAACTTCAGGTACGGATTCCTTGATTTCTTCGATCAACTCTTCCTTTGCCTCTACAGCAGGTTGCTCTGGCTCAGGGGTGGGCTTGATTTCACGAGATTTTTCCTTTACTTCCTCCACGACCTCATTCTTTACCTCGGCAACCTCTTCCTTTACTTTTTCAACGCCCTGCTCGACCTTTTCAACGAGGGTGGGCTTGTTGGCCTTTTCTAAATAGCTGTAGACATCAACGGCGGGTGAACCAACAACAGAATCGACAGCATAGCTGACAGCGGCAGCTAAATCAACGGAAGCAGCCTTTGATTCAGCGACGGGAGGGACAGGAGCGACTTCGGGAACGGCTTGCTTGATTTCCTCAACGACATCATGCTTGGCTTCCACAGCTTCCTCCTTGGTTTCATCCACGGCAGCAGCCTCTACTTCAGGTACGGTTTCTTTGATTTCATCTACCAGATCAGCCTTGGCTTCAACAGCCTCTTCATCAGCAGCGGCAGGGACGGCGGCGACTTCGGGAACGGATTTAGCGACGATCTCCTTGCTGGCTTCTTCTGTGGAGTTGGTCTTGTCAAGGTAGGCATGTACATCCACGGCAGGAGAACCGACAACATTCTCAACAGCAGTGTTGATGGCATCTTGGAGGTCAATAGCGGCAGGAGCAGGAGCATTGGCTACCTCGGATTGTTGCTCATTGGGAGCGGCAGATTTGTTTGGCTTTAAATCCTCGACCACCTCTTCAATGACAGGCTTCTTGGCACCTTCGAGATAGGCGTAGACATCGATAGCCTTGCTACCGACAGCAGAGTCGATAGCAGCTTGGACATGAGAACTGAACGCGTCTTGGGACATGATAAAATTATTAAATAGATTCGAGAAAAAGAAAGAGAAAGAAGGATTTTAAATTTAGAAAAAAGAAAGAAATTTTTTTATGGTTATGGTTTGAACCTTATAAATACTCAATAATGATAGCATCTTGAGGATGTGACGTAAATCACGACCATCTGTTATTGTTTATTTACGGTTTTCTGATCACAAGCTTGGTCTTTAAGCGTAAAAAAAATCTCGGAATTCACACACACGCTCTGCTTGGACTGCCATCGAGCATGAATCGACCTATTTTATCATTTTGATACAAAATTGTATGATGGGTCATTGTTTGGTATGATAGTTTGGCGTCTCATTAATTAGCATGCGGAGTTGATGGCGTTTAATGCATGTGAAAGTGTATCATTCACCTATTGTCATGCCAAATGACAGATTCTACACTGGTAAGCAGATTGCAACAGAGATTTCAGCGCATTCACCACCTACTAATGCACGGTGCACTCAGGATGTGAGATGGAATCAGTCATGTCACAGGCTCCATTTGTTGCGTACCAACGAGTAATCCCGTCGATCTCATAGCTTGCTGCAATGCGACATACATACCTTGCTCTTTGACCCAATAAAGGAGAGCACACCTGAGCTGCTGTGGATGCTATTTATACGATATGATGCATGGGAGCGTGCAATTAAGCTGGGATAATAGATGCAAGACATTTTAATTTGTGGTGAAATTGCGTTTATCATCATCATCATCATCAAGTGATATCAATAAGTGTAAACACTGCACCAACGCAAAGTCTGCTCGTAGAACGTTGTACTAGTGTCGGCTCATGTCCATTGCAAGGATTCCCGATAGTTGCTTCACTGTCATCTGCTGCATTGTGCTCTTTGCTTTGGCTGATGACACTTGCCATATATATACTACTGCATCAAAAGGCTGTATTCAATAAGCAATCTCAGAACTTTCTTCATCTGTCGCAATCTGTGCAGACGCTGAAATCGAACAATGGCGTTTATTTGGGTTTGCCATTGAATCATTAGAATCTATACTTTGCTCTTTTGATGCTGATAACAAACTCCTTGGAATCCGTCGTATCATGGTAACCAATGGGTCCTAGATCACAATCAGCGCAAGACAGGTATTTGGTGGTGCCAACAGTAGTTGAAAATCCAACATTTTCGAAATCCATCATGTTGCCTACGTGCCAAAAATGAGTATCATCATCTTCTAATAGACTGTTCGCAGGTAAGCTGGACTCGGGTAAGGCAAGCTACATGAAGTGCTGTATGAGAAAGGACACCTTTGACTAAGTTGATGTCGATTTTACCTTGCTCCCATCTCTTTCAACAAGAGTAGCCGCGTTTTTTCTCAAAATGACACACTTGCAATTCTCTTTGGGACAAAGCACGTCAGCAGCGTTCTTTCCAGACTCATTGACGAGCCTTTCAAGTGGATTTTCCATGCTTTTGTAAGTTTCTGTCATGGTGCCAAGTTCCAGGTTTCTGCTTTGTTTGAGAGAAAGAAAGGATGTGGAAACTGAGTTTAGTTTAGCACGGCTACCCTTAAGTGTTCCTAGACATTTCATACAGACGGACAATGGATCAGATAATGATTAGACATATAATCAAATAACATGTTCAACAGCATCTACATGTACCTTATGTAGCCTTATATCGTCTTGCTCATCAAATGTACGAGGCAAGGCATTCCTACCCCCCTGAAATGCTGGATTATTCAATTCCGTTGCTGCATCTTCGATACAATCTAATGAGGCTCAGCAAGCTGCATGATTCTGCCTAGGACTCGCACATTGTGTCATATTTACTAGCGTCAACGAATTGGCATGAACCGAGACTATGGTCAACGCAATTCCTATTGTCTTTCTGCTTGTGTGGAGACTCGAGACCTGGAATTTGGGGGAAGAACATAACGCGTCTATTTCAACACTTGATAGCATTGATTTATAGGAGGGTTTTACCATAGCGAAGCAAAGGTACAAACCTATGACAACTAAGCATCCAATCCAGTATTTGATAGCATGATCTATACGAGGGCTTGATTGTAGCGAAGCAAATATGCAAAACCATGGTATTTAAGTAGCAAATTCGGGTTTTCCTTTCCATTGTTAATAAGCTTACTAGAAACATAACGCATCAAAATTTGCATGAATTAGCTTTACCAAAATCAATATGCCTCCTGTTCGAGTTAAAAATTGCTCAAGCTACAGAACTGCCCTTCCAGTAAATTGCAGCTACCAAAGATGTGATTTATGTCGTATAAATAAACTCTATAAAGCCATACATAACCAAATTTGACAGCTTTCAAGCCTTCATATCTTGACACGTAGACCTTTATGAGCCACCGGAATAATGCCAAGCAATTGGACTTGAGTAGTAGTAACTTTCTGATACCTTTGCTCAACTTTTCGGGCCAAAAAAAAACATGGCCAAAAATCAACCAAAAAGCATGAGTGGTACCTCATGGTTTTCATCGAAAATCAAACGATCGCATTTTTTACCTTGAAAACGAAAACTTTTATTATGGTATGTATCAAATCAAAATGTTTCTCTCGATCCAAAGCAACCTCTGAAACCACTATGATGAGGCTTTCATATGCAAAATATGGCTATTTTCGCTAAAACCCTCATTTCAATTTTTATTAAATTGCTCAATAGTTTCAGCCAAAACATTTATTACAGTTGGAACCATTGGAAGCGCCTTGAAAAGTACTTCAAGAATGTATTAGGAAGCGTAGGGTGATCATCACAGTTTATATAGTCGAATATCACAAAATAGATTAAAGGGGTCGACAAAAGACGAGATCTGTCCAATCTTGAACAAAAAGAAACAGCTGAATTTTAAATAATTTTGGCGGCGGTACTGCTGCTGGCTGATCTAAATGCATTTCTGTCTTTGTCCCTGACCATGATCCAAAGAAATGTCGTATATCGATTCATCAACAATTGCATTCCCCACCAGTCTCTATTGAGTCTGAGGTTCCCCTCTGTTTACGTGTCCCCCTTGTGCTTTGTCTGTTCCTCAGTTGAAGATCCCACTGACCACGTCCTTTTTGAATGCCCACCCAAGGCAGCGGTCTGGCAGGGTATTATCGCTGAGTTCCTCTGGCCCACGGTAACCATTGATGATATCCGCCATTCCCTCCTCACTTTTGACTTTTACAATATTCGATATAGTCAGCGGCCTCGTGCTTCCTCCCATCATAGAGTCGTCATTGCGATGTCTAACATTTGGAAGGCCCACTATCGTCTTATCTTCGATCAAACTTCCTTCGCTCCCGCCGCTGTGCTGAATAGTATCCGACTCGACATCCAAAAGATGATCGACGAAAATCTCATTTATGCCAGCCTATAATAGTCCCTCTTTTAAATCGTTCTCATACTTTATTTAAACGTATATAATATTATCACAGAAAATTGCGCCCGCCGCTTGATTATAGTCCTGCTACTATTGTCTACGCGGAGCAAGTAATAAAAAACCTTTAAAAATAAAAAAATAAAAATGCCTTTCTGTTGATGACAATGATGATTGCAATGCTGATTAAATGGGGATCATGGAATTGAAAGGACAAATGTTTAGCGCAAATACTTTTTTTGGGAGCTTTGCCTCATGAAGGTGTCTTTTGCAATGACAATATCTCAAAAAAGTTGCTGTAGATCTTACATAAGTCCTGTATTTACTTATGACCAGCTTTATGTCACCATCATTAAAAGCATCAGCAGCAGCGAATGGGTATGACAATCCAACTATCAGAAAATGGGGATTGTGGTGTACAAGTTCTACTTTAAATTTGCATTTTCTTTTATATCGTTTCAATCATAGGCTTCGTTTGATATCAGTGTAAGCAGAAAGGATGCTGAGGGAGATACCTCCTCTCCTCCTCCTTCTGGCGGCTCTGATCTAACCTTTCTTTTACTAACTAATAAATAATTCTTTAAAATCTGCTTGATATACCAAAATGTTATAATATATGGTTTAAAATGTCTTTGGCGAGAGCCCACAAGGCGACGCTGACATCGAACAAAGCGAGATAGATCGGCTAGTGATTCAATATACGACATTTCAAAAGAAGTCTATTTATGATGTTAACATTACAAAAAGGTGGTCTGTCATCGCACGAATTTTAAAGTATCACCTTACATAAAATATGAAGGGCATCTTCTGTGTATAAACGATGAAGCTATCTCGATTCGATTCAAAAAAAAAAAAAGAGAGAGATACAAGCTTGAATGTATCATGCTTGAGTACCATTTATGTGAGATATTACACCTTTCTACCAAGAATGGTAACCCAAACGAAATGCTGTAGAGATACACAGCTTTCTCTTCGTCACTGACCCTTTTGTAATAGCGACAATTTATTTGTATACCTTTGTATCAGGGATGTGTACTACTTTGGATCAATTCATCTTGAGTGTATATGAAATTCAATGTGCCAATGTATATCATGTACAGACGGACAGGGAACATGTTATGGCTAAACATGCCCCCTTTTCTTCCGACAGCAAGATGCAAAGGCACATGTATATTTGATCCAAGGCGGATCAGCAATTCTATTCGTTCAAGGAACAAAGATGAACCAAGCAATCAGTTAGATATGTGAGCATTTTCCGTCTTCTTTAACGCTGCTACGACTGCCGCCCCAATGCTCTCTCTGTCATCCCCATGGCATACCAGTGCTAGCTTCAAATGTATCTTCAACGTGCTACATAGGTCAAGATTCATTGACCGGGGATGGGAATTGAGGAATTAAGAAAGGATTGTGCCACCATGATGAGGTTTCAAAGCCAAGTGTTCTATTATATATATTTATATATGTGTCTGACATTACTAAATGCCCTTTACCTCCTCTCTTTTCTTCTTTTTTACTTTTTCTTTCTTTTAGAAATCATTGGCATTCAGCAATGGTTTTCTTTTCAGCTTTGAAAAACCTGTTTTCTCGAAGAGATAAAAGAACGTCAAATGCATCTTCTTTGAGGAGCAAAAAGAAAAGTCTATCGTTCAGTAACGGCAATCAGCAACACAACAGCGACAAATCTGCTAGCGATAGTTCCGCCAATTCAACGACAAACAGCTCTAGCATCAATGGACACAGCTTTCAATTTAAAGACGGCAGACGATATCATGGCATTTCAGAGGTATCCTATGTGCTTCCTAACGACGATGATGGTAACACGCTCTATTTCATGGATGACATGACTACATCTAAATAGCTTATTTAGAGGCTGATCGAGTGCATCAACAACATTGGATTCTTCGCTATGCATTGCAAAGGTAGGCATTGAGACAAATCATTGAATCAAAACAGCATTAACGTCAATGGCAATCGCAATAGCAATTATCGAGCACCAGTAACAGATATGTTAGAGAAAGGTATCACTGTCCTTGACTCAGGCTGTGGTCCCGCTACTTGGGCATTTGAGATGGGAGAAGCTTGGCCCAACTCAACCTTTCACGGCATTGATGCATCATGCGTATTCCCTGAAAACATCAAGCCTGCAAATGTCGAGTTTGTCCTGGGAAACATTGCCAAAGAAATCCCATACCCTGACAATACATTTGACTATATTCATCAGCGATTACTGCTTCTAGGCCTGACCGACGACGATTGGGACAATGTAGGGCACGATATGACTACACGCACGCATGACAATACTTAATGATTTACCATGCATAGGCATTGAAACAGCTTTATCGTGTCTTGAAACCAGGAGGCTACATCGAGGTAGCAGAGGTAGGGCTGTTGTTCTGTTCATGAGAGACGGCTGTTGATACTAAACTCTAATTGCCATAGCCCGATTTACAAGATTTGGAGAACATGGGTCCAACCTTGAGAAAGTTACAGTATACCAGTACGTTCAAATGTCAAGAGCACAAGCCGACAGTTGCTGATGTTTTCTACTCGAATAGTGTCAGATATGCTCAACAGCCGAAATATGCCAAACAAGGCCGCATGTGAGATAGAGGATCGTTTGATCAAGGCTGGATTTGTAAACACAAATCTGAAAATTACCCCATTAAAATTGAACCATACTGACAAGACTGGTAAATTACTTTGGTAAGTGGACTATATAAGTTCATGTGATGTGCATTCAACCTCATGCAACCAATTTATTTAGGGAAGATTACAAACACGGGTACTTGAACCTGAGACCTGTGATGGCTCAGATCGTTCCTGAATGGCAAGATCCTGAGGTGTACGAACGTTTTGTTACCGCTTGTGGTATAGAAGCAGAGCAGACCAAGGCCAATGTCAATTGGTACGCTTGTTATGCACAAAAACCCGCTCTCTAAATATATACACACGCTACACCCGCTTTTGTGTCAAGTAACCCATATATCCTTCTGAATAAAAAACCCGTCAAATTTCTACATGTTTATAGAAATTTTTTGATTTACCATCATGCTCTACGATGCGTACGCATTGGCAACAAAGATAACCGGCGTGTGTGCCTCGGCAATGTTGAAAAATGGCAATTGGTTTCAAGATGCGTTAAAATGGCAGCTGAAGGAAATTCCCAAGACTAGCCATTGTTGCGTATTGATCTATTGTTAGAGTGGATCCATTGTTTGCATGAATGTTATGCTATTATCTTGGTTAGTTTAGATATAGATGCATTGATATGTACATCCACAGAACAGCAATGGTTCGTTCTCATGTAGCAAAATTCGTGTAACGGAATGTTCATGTTGCACTTGGAAAAATAAGCATAATTCATAAATTTGAAGAGACATTTACGCCAAATGATGACAATCTCTCATGCTCAGAGCCACTACGCCCACTGAGGATTCTCGCTTAGTAAACGTCTATTTTGTATTATTTGTTGAATTTTCCTTGTTGCGGCAAACCAAAATGTATAAATATAACATTTACCAATGCTTTGGGTCTTCAGTATGTGTAGAATAAGACCGTAATCCCAAAGTTCCCGCTACCTGCACAGATATTTTGTCAAGAATATGATGTAATATCAACAACTAGCGATCCAGAGGTAAGCTGCAAAAGGCACGGTGAAGGATAGCCTTACTGGACCACGCCATATCAGCCCATTGCTCCACGACACTGAATGATATAAAAAGTACATGGCCAGCGATGTATGGCTGTTGGTGTTGAGTGTGTGAGATTGCTGTATCTGGTAATTGAGAAAATCGTATCATGATGATTACAGCTGTAATTTGCCGAGGAAATGTTGTCAATATATATATATATATATATATATATGTACGGCATAACCCTCCATCTCACTGCATTCATGCCAACAACGTTAGATTGACTGAACAGATGGCTAGTTCCATGACATTGGTAGGCTTCTCGTATGCATATCAGATTATCTCCAAGCACATTTCTGCTCTATCTTTTTTTAATTTTGATTCGAACGAGTGAAAATTTCAACTTGAGAACTAAGACATCGCCACCTTTTCAACATTTAACAGTAACCTGCATTCTGCAAAACGCACATTTGGCAGTTTCGATATGTGGAATAAAACATCCATTGAATGAGAATCCTACAGCTATAAACATGTGTTCCAGTCTTGGTAGTAAAAATTGCAAGATGCAACAAATGAATACGCTGATGAAGGAAGGAGTCTAGTTTTAGCACAACAAACAAAATACAACACGTCTGATGTGCGCGGTTTGTGAATGGAGCGTGTCGTTGCATTTTGGCTTGGATGTGCATCTCTGATCACAAAGTCAAAGACGACGCTCAAGATACAGAAGCATTGCATGCTATAAATATTTCCATCCTATCCATTAGCAAGTGTCTTACTTGACATCCAACACAAAATTACGACATTTGGAGCAGAAAGCAGGGAAAAAACAAAGATGGTAAATTTTCCTAAATACTCAAACGACCTACAATTGCAATCGCATTGCCTTTTTTTTTTCCTTTGGTTTTCGTTATATATCCCTCTCCTTCAAAAATGACAGTGAATTGGACATTACCGCTCAAGATACTGTATTCAGTGGCCATCTCATGTTTCTTTGTAGTGCCAGCTATGGTGGGCTATGCATTGCGCTTGGAAATCACCAGAAAGTCATTTTGGGTGCTAGGTGTGTACGGCATGGTTGTATTTTTATTCATCTTTTTGCAGCTATTATTCGCCACACTGAACCGGATCATGGTGCACAGATACAAAAACAAGCTGCCAAATGCAGTATCGCGATATCAGCATTTGAAACACCAATCTATCAATGAAAAGGTGATCCAGATTGATTATGTAGATCAACAAGATTTTCCCGAGAAGACAGTGTTGGAGCCATCTGTCACAGATGCCTCGACATCATCAGCAGCATCCTCATCTACATCCTCTACCTTGACCGACCCCAACAAGCCAGCAGCAAGCAACAGGCAGAGTGGAAGACCCGCTACGCTCATGGGGCTGGCTGTGGTGGGCTACCGTGAGGAACCCACCTTGTTTACAAAATGCTTAGAGTCTATCAAGGAGCTCAATTACCCTGACGCTTTCAAAATCATCGTTGTGATTGACGGCGATGCGCCAGAAGATAGAGAGATGGCTAACCTCTTTCAAAAGATCTTCCCGCAAGGCCCCATTTTGGTTCTACCAGAACTATTGTCTGACTCGTTTGAAAAGATTAGAAAAAATGCCAAAGAACAGCAGCAGCAGCAGCAGCAGGAAGGAGCAACAGCAGCAGAAAAGATAGCCTTGGATCCCGATTATGACCAGCTCTTAAGAGACACATTTACGCTGCCTACCGATACAACGCCCGTCTGTTATATGCAGCCTCATCGCGGCAAGCGTCATGCCATGTACACGGCTTTCCGTGTGCTGATGGCTGCTGGATGTGATGCTGTCATGTCCACAGATTCTGATACCAAGTTTGACCCCAATGCCATGATTGAAATGGAGCGCGCTCTTTACTGGTTTCCCAACATTGGAGCCGCTGCTGGAGATGTTCGTATATGGAATGCCTTTGACAGTGTGCTATCCTTTATGTCTTCGCTGCGCTACTGGATGGCGTTCAACATTGAGCGAGCAGCACAGAGCTTCAATCGATGTGTGACATGTGTATCAGGTCCCATGGGTATTTATCGGTCGCATGTATTAAAGGAGATTCTGGATGACTGGATCACACAGAGCTTTCTGGGCATGGAGTGTACTTATGGTGACGATCGACATTTGACCAACCGTGCCTTGTTGCATGGATACAAGGTGGTGTACACCCATTTAGCCTTTTGCGAAACCGAGACACCCATTGCCTTCTTGCGTTGGTTCAAGCAGCAAACAAGATGGTCCAAGAGTTTCTATCGCGAGTTGCTCTGGAATGCGCGTAGCCTGCATAAGCATAGTCCATGGATGGCAGCTGAGCTCTTTTACCAAGGCATATATCCATTCGTGCTGCTGTTCTCCATCTTTCAAATCTTGTTTAGCAAAACACCCTTTGTGCTTTGTGTCTGGCTAATCTCATTGCTCGCCATTGCCTGCATCAAGACCATCTATTCCATGCTTGTTACCTGCAGTATTCGCTTCCTGGCTTTCCCATTATATTCCTTGTATTACATGTTTGGCTTGGTGCCTGCCAAGCTGTGGGCGATCATTTCTCTGTGGGATGTAGGGTGGGGTACCTCTGCCAGATCGGCTGCTGAACTGAAGCGAGAAAATGTATTCTGCAGCAAGCTCAAGGAAGCACTGCCCATTCTTGCCTGGCTGGTTATCTTGTTGGGCGGTATTGCCTTCAATATCACCGTCTTTGCGTTGAATCCAGATCGTATCAATGGTCTGGAATTTTTCGGCTTTGGCAGTGGTCTATCGTCAGACCCAACCTCTAATGTATTTTATCGCAATCCAGATAACACCATCATTCCATGAAAAGAAAAATAAATTTTGATTGATCTTGAGGTCTATAGTTGCAAGAGGACATGATCTGATTTATTCAGTAATGGTATACAGTGACAATCTTTTCACGATAATACTTCAACACTAAACCAAGCTGTCTTCTGGAGATGCCCTCACGGTAAATGATCTCTTCAATGTGATGCTGGCCGTTCATGTAAGGCTTTAATCTTTCAAACAACTCTGCCACCTCCTTTGGTGCTCTCTCGTATGTTAGTCTCTTTAGTCTGTTCCATTCAGCGTCACTGTTGGCGTTTGTATTATTGGGGCTGGACGAGATGGCGTTGGATGTTTCCTGCTGCTGCTGCTGTTGAGATCCGTCGCCCAGCTGAGAGCCGCTTTCATATTGTGATTGAGGTGTTTCGTTGCCGTGCTTCTTGTTGGGTGGGACCAAGAGGACCAAATACATGTGCAACTGCACTACCAAATCCTTACGAATCAAGTAAGTAATGGCTTCCAAATATTGATTCTTCAGTTCCTTGACATGGTACACCAAATGGTATTGTTGTGCATGCGATAGTTTGGACAATAGCACCGGTAAGCTAAGGTTGGGTATGTGCAATTTGAAATCAGCTTCCAAGCTGGTGATGCTGTACAGAGCGTCAATATGAGCCAAATGTTACTTTTTCAGCGACTCAACTTACTCGTCAAGTTTAGCAGTCGGTGACACCACATAGATGTTCCTCGTACTGATGGTGTGTATCAGTTTAGCCTTTCTCCAATAGATCAAGTGCGCCGCTAAACGATAAATCTGTGCCAGTGAGCAATCAAGCAGCAGATGTAGCTCTTGCAAACTCTGTGTGGGTGTCAATATCTGTACGAGTTGTACCAAGGTTGGACTTGCATCCAAGGGCATATTCTTCAATACTTCCTCTGGATCCTCTAGTAAAAGCAGTGTGTGATATGGACATAGTACTGGATAATTATCGTACTCATAGCCTGCTACGCTGTAGATGTCCATCAAGGATGATCCGGTATAATTGTCTTTAGCTCTCTGTGTGGGTGACATGAGACTCTCTCTGTCTGCTGTCATGGATGATTCGCTGTTCCTGCCAATCACTGGAATTTGCAGAGATAAGTCAATAAAGTCGTTAATAATGACATGTGCTGCTGTGTTTGCTGAAATAGCTGTGTAGATCTGTCGAATGTCTCTTGCCAATGATGATTCCCTCAGTATTTCTCGCATCACCTGGTCGTAGGGAATGCCTAAATGCAATGTTTAGTACCCACAATGTACCGCCTTGGAGAGAGAGTGTGTGTGTACCTTTATTGAAGGCTTCTTCTTTCAACCCAAGCACTTTCTCAATCTCTTCTTGCACATATCCACATCGTAGCTGCTCGTACCGTAATGCGGATGAATATCTCAATATCACATTCTTGTAAATGGTCTCTACTTGAGCATTCAGCTCTAAATCAGGTGGTGACATGACGAATACAACATGAAATAGTGTCATATGGATAGATGTTGAGCTAGGAAATGTATCTGATGCTGATTCATCGTCGTTTTCATCATCGTCGTCATCATCAGCAGAATCCTCATTGGTATCATCATTTGGCAAAGCCTTTTTATTGCTGCTGATATTGTATGAAGCTGTAGATGCCAACGGTTGTTGCGAGGGCGTAGAAGGTGTAGATTGTGTGATAGGAGAAATCATTTGAGAGGCAGGACTCGGTGATAGCGGCGATGTCATGTAGTCTGTTTCATGGTCCTCTGTGTCTATCGACTGCTGCTGTTGCTGTTGCTGTTGCTGTTGCTGTTGTTGGTGTGGCGAGCTCAAACTTACAGGATGCCCAACAAATGTCAAATCATCCATACTTAACTGAAACTTTCTATCGCATAAGGGTGATTTAGGTGCAAGCGCATCAGCCAGGAAAGAAACATCGATATTGAAGATGGTATCGCGACCAGCAAATATGTCTCTTTTCGTAATATCATTGTTGCTCCCTACATGATTGCTGTTATTGCTGTTGTTTTCGCTGTTATTGATGTTGCATTTGGAAGCAGTCGACGAACGTCTGCTCTCTTCCTTGTCGTTTTGAGATTTTCTTGTGGCCATGGAAGACCCCACAGTGAAATCCTGGGCGTAGCTGTTGTCATGTCGATTCAATGAGGGCCTTTGAGGATCTGGTGGATAACTAAAGAGAAAATGATGGCCTCTGGTAGAATTAACAACGAGTAAGATGGCCAATAATGAGCTCATATCTCGTTTGGATGTTGTAGAAAGTCAAAAAAGATCAAGCTGGCATTGATCCTTGGTGGTTTTGGGTCTCCACATGTGAGAGGCGCCCTCTCATCAAAGCCACCACCCACTTTTTAACGTGATGAACGTTAATGTAGACTTTGTTGCGTTTGTATCATCCATGGATTGTTGCAAGAAGATACAAACTTGATCAAATGTTGGCTCACTTGTCAATCTAGATGCCTTTGGCATAATACGTGCTTCATTTGGGATTCAAAAGTATCATTCTAGCATATAGGTAGATCCGTCGTAATTCATGCAAGTGCCCTCACCAATTTACCAAATCACAGATGACGTCTTGCCGTGGCTATAAAAGTAGCAAGGCATTCCATTCATTATATTCCATATCCGAGATCCAATTGAGAGCTCATCAATGTCGTTATCTTGCTGATAACTACATTGAATCTTGTCGCAATGCATCAAAGGTGGATTTCATGTGATATTTCGACCTCATTCTCTACACATCTGTCCTCTCTCTTGTAGTGAGATATGTATGTTAAGACAGAGAGACATATTTTGCTCAAGCTACAACCAATAGAGATATCATGTGCTTGCTATTACACGAATGTTGCGTACTTAAAGCCTGTGTACCATTTGGTGAGGCGCCATTGTTCATTGATTGAACAATAAGCTCCATACACAAGCTCGCAATGGATCTATGATTCGATTAAGCTCTTTTTCTGAATAATAAGGGCCAGTGCTAAATGCTGGCTCCTGCTCACAAAAGTCATTTCCATGGATACAGGAGGAAATCCTGATTCTGTATAGCGGTTGTTAATTGCACCAGCGGTTGTTGATTGGGGATGTCATTTTCTCAAATATTCAAGCTTCCTGTCTCTTATCCGCTTTTTTCCACCTTTTTTTTTTTTTTTTTTTTTTTTTTTTTCTTCTTTTGCTTTATACCTGTAAAAACAAACAAGTACGCACTCTTTTTAATCTTCCATTGATATCCGGTATGTAAACGATGCTTGAGCAAAGGATGTCTGTCCAATGTACAAAAACTTTAGAGACTTCATCCGCCTTTTTTTTTTTTTTTTTCACACAATGGACACTGGGGCTCATTTTTTGTTGGATAGACGTATTTATTGTAAATAAAAATGATGCTATATAAGCTTGTTGTTCTTGGTGATGGTGGTGTTGGAAAGGTAAGCCTTGTTCGGTTGTCCATAGTCTAATCTCACTGACTGATACTCATGTGTTTGCTTTATACAGACTGCGCTGACAATTCAGGTAAAGCAAAACATTTAGAATGTAGGTAATTTTTGTTTTAATTGACATGTCTATTGTTTGTCACTTAAGCTTTGTTTGAATCATTTTGTTGGTAAGATTTTGTTGCTATGCTATGCAGATTTGTTTTCGACTTGATGGTTAATAGTGCTGTGCTTATGTAGAGGTAAATTTCGAACTGATTGGATCAATTAAAGGAACGCCCATCATGATGAGAGTATTCACCCCTACTCTTATTTTCTCACTCACAAACTACAGACATATGATCCCACTATTGAAGACTCATACCGCAAACAGGTGGTCATTGATGATCAGCCCTGCATTTTGGAGGTATTGGATACAGCAGGACAAGGTATGGATCTTTGTTGCGGATTGTGGTTTGCTTGATATACCAACAATGTCCATTAGAGGAATATACTGCATTACGAGATCAATGGATCAGGTAAAGACTCGAGACAAGCACACTTTGTTGTCATGTTACTCATCCGTTGCTGTACCTGAATTTCATGATCAGAGATGGCGAAGGGTTCTTGTTAGTCTATTCCATCACATCTCGCTCAACCTACGACCGCATTGAAAGATTCCGTGATCAAATCTTCCGAGTAAAAGATGTCGACAATGTGCCATTGATGTTGGTAGGCAACAAGTGCGATAAAGTGACAGAGAGAGAAGTTACACGAGAAGAGGGATACGCAACAGCAAAGAGATTAGCTTGTGATTTCATCGAGACATCAGCAAAAACATGTGTCAATGTCGAAAGATCCTTTTACCAAGTCGTCAAAGCCATCCGAGCCCAACGAGAGGGTTTGCGTGCCGGCCCAAAAGGAAAACCTAAGAAGGAAAAGAAGAGCAAATGCTTGATTTTGTAAATTCCACTCTCTTGTATTCACCTGTTTTGCATATACACCACACAATAAATCGAAAATCACCAAATACACACATGTACTGATTAGCATTGTTCTCTTCTTCTCTTTTTCACTTTCAGTGACGTATTTGGGATTTCAAAAAAAATAGATTTTCCGAGAATCCATTATATAAATTCCAATTTGGTTTATTTCGATTTCTCTTCTTTTTTTTTTTTTTTATAAACATATATTCGCCAGTTCTTCTTTCAAGTAAAATGGGTAAAGCACAAAGTAAACTTAGCCCAGAGCAGCTCACCGATCTTCAAAAGTGTACCTATTGTAAGTGTTGATCACATTTCTACAGCTAGTCGAATTAATCTCTTCCTCTAGTCGAAAAAAAGGAACTGCAACAATGGTAGATATTGGCTAGCGATAGATAATTTGGCATTTAGAATGACAACATTGTTACTAGGTACAAGGGATTTTTGAAGGATTGCCCCTCTGGTCAATTGGATAAAACCGAATTTCAAAAAATATACAAACAATTCTTTCCATTTGGTGATCCCTCTCGATTTGCAGATTATGTCTTCAACGTGTTTGATGGCGATAAAAATGGGATGATTGATTTCAAGGAATTCATTGTGGCATTATCAGTAACAAGTAGAGGTCGAGTTGACGAGAAACTATACTGTAAGCTGCCCACTGTCTCTCCCTATTTATTAATTTATATAAATAACCTTTTTTATTAGGGGCTTTTCAAGTATGTTGATTTGGATGTGGAAAGATGGCATGTACTAAACGCTTCTTTAGCTGTACGATATCGATAATGACGGATACATTACTCGCGAGGAAATGTTGCATATAGTGGATGCCATCTACAAGATGGTAGGAAGTATGGTCAAATTACCACCAGATGAAGATACACCCGAGAAACGTGTCAACAAGATTTTTGATTTAATGGACAATGTAAGCTGTGTATATGGGAGGGTCTTTGGCAAGATCAACGGTACTGATGGTTGGTTTCATTGATTAGGACAAGGATGGTAGACTGTCAATGGACGAGTTCAAAGAAGGATCAAAAAAGGATCCAACAATTTTGCAAGCTCTAAATCTATATGATGGCATGGTTTAGTTGAAATAAACATGGTTTTTTTTGAATATATACCGTACCAAATATAATGATGCTCTATGAGTTATCACTTTTACAGCCCACTTTTACCTTTTTAAAGCAACAACTAACTTGCTAAACGGAAAAACTGAGATGTTGTGTTAAAGCAGCACCAAAAAAATACGTCATGAGATTATTCAGTTACAAACAGGCATTTCTCTGCAGTGAAGGTGCAACGTACAGCAACCATTCATTCGCAAATCTGACGAAAAATGTTACACATGACAGTGATTATTGCAAACAGGTCTCAGCCCAATGGTTGTTGTACGATTGTCATTTGATGCCATTAAAGGGCGGCAGAAGTAACATTTCAAGCCATGTAAACAACCATAAATCATTCAGGACGCAAAATGTCATATATACTACGTATTATTCGACGTTAAAAAAGCTCTTTGAATTTGATGTTTATTACCCAAAATATCTAGTTTTTACGGCTTGCATCCAAGACAAGCGTGTCCAGACCTCTGCTTTGGATTCAGATCAAAAACTCATCTTGACGTTCAGTAGTCATGACATAATCTCCATCCAGAAGAATATGTTTTACCTTGGTTCCTATCGACATATCTTTTCTCTTTCAATTCAAAATGAAAAACAAGGGATTGTTTGCCAATAAGACTTCTATCAAGTCATAGTTTTCTAGACAGTGAATTCCATCATGATCACACACATTGTCAGTAGTCTTTGCAAGCCGGATCAGTGTTAAGCATATAGCTTGCATATCTGTTTTATGGAGAAATATCCTGAGACTAGAGCATCACAGTATATTTGATGGAGATGCACACAGCACAGAGGCTTACAAATCTTGGGGAGAGGTATGGTAAATAGCTGAAAAATAGACTGGCAAGATCTTATCAAGGGCGAAGGCTTGACCAGTAGAACCAACTGCATACTTTTGTTCAGTCATATTGCAAGCCAAGCAAAGCAAGAGTGATGTATCATACTTTGGATCTGCGTTCAGGGATACTCCAAGGATTGTTGCATCTGCTTGGGCAGAAACGTATTGAGCTAATTTGACTGATTACATCGCATTAAACTTACTGATCATGCTGGCATTGTAGATTCTGCCATACAAATTGATTGACAATCACTTTGATATCTTTCAAATTGTATGCATTTTCTGCAAACGACAGGGTAATGTCTATCACTACAATAACGATACTTTACCTTAAATACTACGTTTAAGAGCTTTTCATTTTTCTTCTTTGGGCTCACTACTACCAGAATCTACACTCATCATATGGCCATTGCCAAAAACAGCTGAAATTATAGCAAGAAAAGTAAACCTTACGCCTTATGAACGAACAAGAGGATAGCTCTCTTTATGAATTGTCCAAATACTGATCTCAGAAGAAGACAATACTTTCCCATGTTCAATTGATTAGCATGCCTGTATTATTTTCCACTTCTTCGAAATAACAAATCTTAATGCTGCTTGAAATGCTGGACCTATCTACAAATATAATCGTCAAACCGGAAATGACACATACATCGAAAATCTCTTTTTACTATCTAGCTGTCATAGATAAAGGCAATTTAATACTGTCAGTCTATATAATTCATACAGCCTTACAAACTTAACACTATACAATTTCTTCATTTCTATCTGGCTACAGGCCCTTCAATAACTGGGTAATAATTAATTTCAACCTCCGATTTGGAGTTTTAATAATTTTGAGACCCAGCTCCTGCCAAGATGACGGTGTATGATAAAAAGGGTGTATAAAAGTTAGGGTGTAATCCGGATAATAGATAGACCGTGGGGGTATAGGGTGCAGGTAGGGATAGGGTGTATAGGTGTAGGTAGATAGAGGATGCATAGGGTGTAGGTAGATCTAGGGAGTATAGAGGAAGGGTGCATTATTTAATCCTCAACTGGAGAAAGCAGTAAAAGTTTTTTGGCACGTGGGATCAGGCACATCTTTTTGTTCATTACCTTACTCCATTTCTTTAATAGTTTGAGCAATATGGATAACTCAAGTTATGAAATTGAATATGATTTTGTCAATAAGTTTCCTGACGAAACCGTCAAAGAGGTTCTTCCCGCTGTATTTGACCGCACCACCAATACATTCAAAATCAAGAGAGTGAATATTGGATGGGCTTTGAAGAAAAGCTACACCATAGCTTACAACGAGAAGAAGCCGGTCGAAAAACTCGCTGATGGTGAAAGTATTTACGATAGAAGGATTCAAAAGTTGTGCGCTGGTGCTTTACGACGTTTAAGCTTGCAATGCAAGAGACCTGAAGAAGGGGTCAAAGATCAACGGCCACCCACCAAGGAAAAAGACAGTTATGGCTACTCCAAAAGGTTTGAATGCCCATATTGTAAGGCGCCATTGGAGAAGGTTCCTTGTGGTGTTCCTGTAACTTTTACCTTCCGTGTAAATGACTCTCACAGAGAAGACAGAGGCAGTACCGCAACAATGCGTCAAGAAATAACAGAAACGAAGAAGCACACACACACCATTTACAATTCGCTCCATCTCGATAGATACGAAAAGAGGGAGCTTAACAAGATGGTAAAAACAAGACCAAACATCACTGCTGCTGCTGCCATTTCTGGCATTGATCCCTATACTGGTGAAATTACGAAAAGTGTCAGAAAAATTAACAATGTGATGGCTAATCATGGACGTACTAAGTATGAGATCGGAAGATCAAAGATCCAACAGGATCTGTATACTACAAAAGAAGATGCTGTAGCTGCGTTCCAAGATCTTGATGAGAAGTATCCACACTTCATGGATTCAGCCCAAATTCTCCCTAGCAAGTTTTTTGTGAGCTTTTGCTCACCAGAAATGCTTCAACGCAATCTGCCTTTTGCCAACCAACCCATTGTAACAGATGTTACATTCAAGGCCGTCCCAAAGGGGTATTATCTTTGCTCAAGTGTCATATACATCGAGCAACTCCAAAAGCATGTCGTCTTTTATCAAGCGATAATCAAAAGCAACAGCGCTCAAGTTTTCAAGCAGTATTTTGCTGCCTTGTTTAGAAAGTTCGACATCAAGCTAGAGCAGTTTTTGGGAGCCATCATGGATTTCTCAGCTGCACAACGCGAAGGGCTCATAATAGCCCTTAGGGAGGTTTTTGGTGTCAAGCAGCACAACGCATTGCCCTTTTTGAAAGGTTGCTATATGCATTGGATGCAGTCAGTCAGACGGCTGTCTAACAATCATCATGTTGTCAAGCCAGATGATATTGATCTGTTTTTGAAGCTAGTTCATCGCTTCCTTACAGCCAGCAATTCAATTGAATTCTACCGTACCGGCCAAGAGATTCTCTCTAAATTTCCCAATAGCAAAAAGTGGCTGCAATGGTGGTTACAGCCTAGCGTATCAAGCATGATCATCAGATGCAAATCATTGATGAAAAAGAAATTGAGACAGCACAAGAGCCGCACGTCCAACGCGATTGAGGCATTCCACAGTGCGCTCTACAAGCTGATGCCTGAGAAGAGACAACCTGTTGCCACCAGTCTTCGACTGTTATTGCAGGTAGCCGAATATCATGGCATGATGATGTTGGACTTGTATGAGAACAACATTCGTCCTCATTAGGAGAACAATCAGAAGAAAACAACGGCAAAGAAGTACGCGACTCTTTACGAAATCAATGACGGCCGTGCGCCAGACAACAACGCTGCTCTCTTTGGATCCAAGAAGAGAAAGCAACAAGTAGTAATCATTGGTGATAAGGAGAATGGCAAGCGTAAAAACGCCCCAAGAAACTAGAAACTCGCGGTGCTGATTTGAACGCTGCGATCAACGAACACTTGGATGAGGTTATCGAAATAGAGCAGAATTGTCCAAAGATTGACGACATTGCAGATGGCAATATCAGCGATGAGAGATTCTTCCTTGAACTACTCTCAGATAGTGATGGTGAAAACGATGAAGTAGACGACAGATATCATAGAACCGAGAATCTAGAAAACGACATTAAGGATATGTTTAAAGGTACGAATACTTTAGGTGGTTTTTACTTGCTCATGTTGTAACATATCAAAAATAATTAGGTGCTGGTGTTTCTGTCGAAGATGTTGTTGTCCACTCTGATGAGAGCTTCGAATCGTCTGTTATTGATCTTGTATCTTCCTCTTCGTCCTCTTCTTTTTCTTCTTCCTCCTCTTCCTGTTCTTCCTCTTCGCCAATAATGAAGACCAAGTCTGAGCCTACTACATCTAAGATGAGAGCACCAACTGATTCTGATTTCACGTTGTCTTCGTCTTCCTCAAACTTACCCTGTCCTGCAAGTAATGACAAGCACATTGATCCTATTATATAAAGCATTCAAAAGTCCACATCTGCTACTATAATAAATCTTTCCTCTCCCCCAATGCTCCCTGAGATTTTGGCATCAGTAGCAATTGAACCTATTGCAAGCAGTTCAACCACAACAGCAGATCAACCTTCGCTTGAGAACGACTCATCTACCGCTGCTGGCTTCCTGTTGCCACAAAAAAGAACATCTCTCTTGCAGAAATATCACTGACTCGTGAAAGATTATCAAAATAACCATCCAGACAGCCACCCATCTCTGCCCGTTCCCACCTACATAGTGTCAAACGAAAGTAACTCCTGCTTCATCGATGCGTTTTTTGAGCTTCTGTTCAATGCTGTCCTTCCATTTGTGGATATGTCTTTTGCTGATGAAAACAACGCCTATGATTGTCTTCTCATGAATGCTTTTGAATCATATTCTCAGCAATCACCTTCTGGTATCCGTGCTGCTACTTCTACTGTGAGACACTTTGTTTGGAATATGACAGAATACAAGCTTGTCTCTGATGTTCGTCAGCTGGTTAAGTCATTCCCAAAAGGTCGTCAGGGTAATACTCTTGATTTGGCGAGCATGGTATTGGAGCGTTTGTCGAGTGTCTTTGTCAGCAAGGTTTGCACATTTCCATCGTTTCAATGTGAAAGAAAAGTGTCTTGCTCTATGGAAAAAGCGCATGCGTATGCGAAAGATGACTTTTTCTCATTTATCTACATGCTCCCGACCAACATCATTAATGAAATGAGAGATTGTCATGGGTTTTTCAATGAAGCGGCACTAGATGCGAAATTCAATGACTTGTTCAGAGAGAAGGTGCTCGAGGAACACCAAAAAGGAAGATGCAACGCTCCAAGATGTGATGGAGTCTCTACATCCTTCAGATCATTACCTCAAGACAATCAGTTTCCTAAGCTCATGTTCGTACAAGATGGTGCAAATTTTGTCCTTGGCAGAACAGCCGGAAACAATGTCTATATGCCAACATACATCCACGTTTCGCAGACCGTAAAATATAAACTGCACGGTAGAATCTACTCGACTAGTTTTGATGGTGTACACTTTTATACGAGGTGTTATAAAACAATTGGTGGGATTGTATATCTCGTGGATATTGACAATTGGCAGCAACAACAAATGAAGGTACTCACCTCGGATTTGGACGTAGCAGAGCGTCTTCTAAAAGATATTTCCAAAACGGTATATGCATGCTACAAAAGAGTATAAATATTTGCTTAAAAAAAATTGAACTTGCCAGATCAGAAAATAAATTTGCATGAATAAAACTTAAAATCTGACACCCATTACTCCTCTACATTCTACAGTATATACCACCCTACTCCCTATATATACTCCCTAGGTCTACATACACCCTATGTATCCTCTATCTACCTACACCTATACACCCTATCCCTACCTGCGCCCTGTACCCCCCACGGTCTATCTATTATCCGGATTACACCCTAACTTTTATACACTCTTTTTATCCTACACCCAAAATGACGATAGTGCAGATAAAATTTGTGTAGATAGCATGGTTGTTGAGAAAAGGGAGATTTTAGTAGTTAATTTTGAATAGATGCTGCTAGTAGAACTTTTTAAATTACTATATGAATGTGAGATGTATGTGTAGTGAAAGTTGTAGAGGGTACATTTTTTGACTAGGACATGTTTGATGTGAGGATATGGAAAGTGATGCCAATGAGTAATGACGGAAAATGTTCCAAATGACCGATTTTCAAAGGGTCATATCTCTGAATTTTATTAAGTAAACGAGAGCTTCAAACTTAATAACTTGCATTTCTTTTTCAATTTTCTATACGATGGTATAGTTATTATAGATAAATAAGATAAAAAATGAATATCCCCTGCTTGTAGCTCATAAAATATATGATTTTGAGCAAATATATGAAGGGAACGTATATCTGGTATTTGAAACCCTTATATTATAATGGATATAATGTAGAGCTACCGAATGGTCTTTGTTTTGTGCGAATCCAGCGAGTATTTGTCGAGATATGGTCAAAAATGGATATCATGCAAAATCATTGATTTTTCTTCAGAATCTACGTGTGATAGCAAGCAAAAAATCTGGTGACGATTTTTTGGTCAGGACAAAATTGTTAATATTTTATGATAGAGCTATACCAGAGCTTTAAGCAATAGCTCTTTCAATAGGAAATGTTTTGGTCTACAATGTTTAGTAATGCTTAACAAAATGTTTCGATAACAGATACTGATTAATAGTTAGAAAACAGTCAGAAAATCGCAAAAACAATTGTACCAAATATCAAGTGAAAAATGTACACCAGAAACTTGATATGAATACCATTGTATTCTCCTTTGAATTCTCTACAAGTTTTATATAAGTTTGAAGGGGTGTTTACTATCAAGAAACGCGTAATCTTAAGGTCGATAGATTTCGGAATCCTATGAATCACCATTCAGAACAATAGGAATTGAATCTCCGTTGACCTTCTGCACGTGTACACGATACAAGTATGAATTTGACCGAGCATTTTAAAAATTGGAGCGTACGAAAAGGGCCATATTAACTTGCTGGTTTCAAGTTATCAATAGATACCTAATGTTGTGCCAGAAGGGCTACAACTGTCTATAAAGATTAAGGTATTCTTGATGGGTAGATATGTCTGTGTTGTGCAACAACATGGACAAGCTATGATAATTGAAGTGCATCTCAGCTATCTAAATACTGAGGTTTACCAGATGTGATAAGCGTTGTACAAGATAAATTGCTACTTTGGCATTCAGAACTTAGTATAAATAGAATAACTCTTGTCTTCATCAATAAATCTTTAGTTTTTGTGTCTGATCTTATCCAAATAAGTCTTTTCTTGTTTTTATAATATCGAACATTTTTTATAAGCTACAAATAATAATCCTTTTATTCTTTGTGCTTAACACATAGTATTGATCTATACGAGGGCTTGATTGTTGCGAAGCGAATATGCAAAATCGTAGTATCTAAGTAGTAAATTCGATTTCTCTCCCTCTTTGTTAATAATGGATTGTTTAAAATTTACATATATATAGCAGAGTTTATTATTGTTAATGATTTGGAATGTCTACGGCGACAGCCCGCAGGGTGACACCGTCGTCAAGTGTAGTGATATTGCATCTAATTCAACATTTGTTAATATTAGTCCTAATCGATTTTACCGTAGCCAAGCAAAGGTGTACAACCATAGTGTTCAAGCAGCAAATTCGGGTTCTCATTTGCATTGTTAATAATAAGCTTACCAGCAACATAGGGCATCAAAATTCGCATAAATTAGTCTTACAAAATCAATATGTCTCTTGTTGAAATTACAAGCTGCACAGGTTGCAGAGGTAAGCCTGCTAATGGCAATGGAAATGAGAAAGCGAATATGCTATTTAAACACTAAAACTTTACATTTTGGCTTCGCTACGGTAAAACCACCTTTAAAATCGCTGTTATCAAGTATTGGGCTAGATGCTTGAATACTATTTTGGTATTGCACCTTCGCCTCCCTATGATAAAATCCTTATATAAATTAATGCTAACAAAAGTTGGATTAAATGCTTGATTGTCATGGCCATTGACCTTTGTTTGACTATGGTATAACCCCCTCAAGGCCAATGATACCAACAAGTGTTGCCTTGAAACAGCATATCACGCAATCCATAGCCAAATAGCAAACAAGAAATCACTTGATCAGATACGCCATGTTCTGGGAAGAAGAACCTTTAATCTCTGATTAACTACGATGGCGCTTTTGTGTTCATATTTTCCAGTATCCGATATATGAAACCTCCGTGGTGCTATACCATACCATGGCCTAGAGCTTACCTTGATAGTAGTTGGATGCACGTTTATACAGTACAACTCCAAAAGAATTCAATCTGAATTTGCTAGTCAGCAACTAGCAATACTTATATTACCGGAATAATCTAAAGAACCTTCTGCCAATACATTTTAACTAAATTATTTTCCGTTATTGGGAATAGTCAAGTCGATCAAATCAATTTCAAACTTTTCAATTCATTACATTCTTACCCATGAAAATGTGATATATTTAAGAAAAACCACAATTTGACAATATTAAGATTTTCTCACCATATATAAGGGTTCAATGTTAGTTAAATGTCAGACGTGAGACCATCAGCGTCTTTATATAAAGAAGTGTGGCCCAGACGTGAGCTTTCGGCGTCAGTATAAAAGAAGCAAGCACCCCCCCCCCTTTTTTTTCATTGTCAGGTGTCAGGTACACACAGACTTTGTGTGTAACTTTTTTTAATTTAGTATAAATATCAACTTAGTTTGCAAAACAATAAAGATCATCTTATATCTCAATTCTATTCTTTTATATACATTTATCTAAGTCTACTCTAAAACTATACCTATACACACGACACAGGTGCACACAGACTTTGTTAGTAACTTTTATAGTTAATATGAATATCAAAAATAATAAAGGTTATTTTTTTTTCTCACTTATACTGCTGAGACATATACATTTATCTAAATCTGTTACTTATACTCACAAAACCATTAAATAACAAACACTTTGTAACATTCTATGCGGAAACTTTTTGATAATTTTACATTTATCTGCCAGTAACTTTTAAACGAATCAGCTCTAGTACACTGTTATGTCAAAATACAATGTAAAATTGAATCTGCCAAAGAATTACACTATTATTGAGAATGCATCCCAAGGATGCATTTATATACTTTTCATTATGCTAGGGTTTACAGCATGATGATGAACTATAATACAAATAGGTTTACTATCTACCCAACAATTGATTTGTAAATCATGATTAGCATGATTTACCCAAAGGACCTAAGAATAGCCTAAAACCTTTAGTGTGAGACCTTGCTATGACATTTGATATAACAATAATAGGCAATAGCCTTGGATACTAGCTTGAGTAGTAAAGGAAGCCCAAAGGAAGTGTACTAACTGTTCTGAGCATCTCACAAAGCTTCTTAGCCAAGCTGCTTCACACTGGATACTCTCCATATATTCTTATTATAATGAGTATCCTAAATGTTCTTCCTAATATCTTTGACGGAAGTGTTATATCAAATGTTATAGCAAGGTCTCACACTAAAGGTTTTAGGCTATTCTTAGGTCCTTTGGGTAAATCATGCTAATCATGATTTACAAATCAATTGTTGGGTAGATAGTAAACCTATTTGTATTATAGTTCATCATCATGCTGTAAACCCTAACATAATGAAAAAGTATATAAATGCATTCTTGGGATGCATTCTCAATAACAGTGTAATTCTTTGGCAGATTCAATTTTACATTGTATTTTGACGTAACACTTTTTTAAATCCCATAAATTTTTTACACTTACTACTATGAATAACGTAAACCCTACTACTGTTTCTGTTGGAGCTGGTGTTGGTCATCGCTCTGCATCGGGAGATGCAAGTTTTGGTACTGGTTCATCTTTGTCGTCTCTACAAAATGAACATAGCAATGCATTGAGCAATGATGCTCTGCATAATGGTATTGATGCTTGTAGCGAAGACGCTTGCATTGATCAGGCATTGAGCGATGACACTCTGTCAACTCTTGATAATGATACTATCATGAATGATAGTGGTGACCTATTGGAATTTGATTTCGATAGTGAGATCCAACCCTTGGGAATGGATCATCAGGCTAGCATGGCCACGGACATCAAGATGTTGAGGAAAGGGCTTTTTGAGGCTACAAGGCTGTCTATCACTATGCTTGAGGATGGCACGCTTGCATCCAATGCTGGGGCCCTGAAACGCCAATTGATCATGGCTAAGGAAAACTACGATTTGTTGTTTGATGATACTCCAATGCTCTCCCCCTCCATGGCCTATTCCAATGCTGCTAATAGCATAGTACCTCCAGATACGCTATATATTCAGTGGAAAGGGCACAAGTTTAACAATAAGAAATTTGTTTACCCTACCATAAATGCATGCCTTCAACAATTTCAGGATGTACTGGAGTCTCTTGGTGTGTCGACCAAAGCAAACTGGAAGAGAATTATTAAGCCGAAAATGTCTACGGGTATGTCTGCCTGGACAAGAGAAATCATACAAAAGTATCCCGAAATTACTTGGGGCCAGTTCAAGAGCAAGCTCAAGGTGAAATATAGCCCTTCGGAAGCAGAAGAAAGAAAAGCTGCACTCAATAAGCTAAAGACGCTTAAATTGGACAACTGTGACAATCTAGAAGACTTCATTGACAGGTTTAACTCCTTGAAGGACTTAGCGGGAGTCAAGGAAAATACGTCTCTTGTAGACTATCTGCTTTGTGGTCTGGATATCGACTTGTATGGACCGGTGTCTATGGGCATTTCACAAGCCCGTTCCAAGGGAAGCGACACTTTGGATTTTGCTATCTCACAATTGCGCAGTGCCTACGATTTGTTGAGAAGAGATGATTATTATAGGCAGGAAAAGCAGAGAAAGGATGCTGAACTGAACAATACGATCAAGGATGCGATCAAGGCACATCAGCGTGATGAGGGCTCTGCTTCGCTGAGCAACAAGAAAACTCGTCGTGCTGGTCGCCACCATGACAAGCAATCAAGAAAAAAGAGGAATGATAGTCCTGGTGAAGTACTTAAATGTTATGATTGTGGTTTCACACCATTTACGTATGCGCATAAGGCATTATGCAAGAAGAACCCCAAAAATATCAAAAAGATAACAAAGAAGAAGAGCAAGTTGATTGTGCCAAGACCTGCTTCCAATGATGATATTGATTCATCATCCTCTGATGAGGAAAGTGATCAAACTTTTGCTGCTGCCACAATTTCTACAAAGGACAAGCAAAAGGAGGAAGTCGTATCCATGGATACTGATAGTGAATGTAAGCATTTGAATAATGAATATTTCAAAAAGATGCCTAGTAATAACATGGATACTTGTGGAATACATCCACTATGATTTGCATTCCGACAGTTCATCCAGTTACTAGATTTAGATATAAACTGTATGTACGCTGGATTAGATGTACGATATCGATTTATACTATAAGAAGATATGGACTTCAGATACGCTAGTACTATAAGATTCATACTATATAAGATATAGGCTATAGATGGCACCACGGACATGATGGATGGCACTATAGACTTATACTTGTATTCCGACATTGACTACGGATGTTTACCATATCTGGATAGGCACCAAGATTAATGCAATATGAGCTTGTTGCTTCAGATGTGCACTTCATGATCCACGCTATAAGACACATGCTTATATCCGTGATACTAGCTACAGATACTTTATGTACTACAGACTTGTACTATATATGAGACATGCTATAGACATGCATACGATATGCTATAGACATGCCATATATCCAGATACATGCTAAAGATGTATGCTTAGCGATATACACTCAGATATGTACCATTAATATAGATTAAGAAGACTGTACCTATCGGATACATGCTACTAGATCGATATTAATTATCCTTATAGAAAGGATAGATCAGGGTACTTCGGATGAGAGTCTAATTATTCATCCAGACAGAGCTAAATCATGATTAGCTTGCTGGAGTTGTCCTTTAGCATGATTAGACATTAGTTAATCTGAGTTGACTTATTTGTCAATCTAATTAATAGAACTTTTATCCATTGTTATAGTATATAAGAAGGATCATCTACCTGGCCAGTAGAGAGACTTCAGTTTACTTTACACCTGTCAGTTTGATAATAAAATATACCTTTATCAAGTTGACATTACTGTTTTTTATTCTTTTTTTTCCGTGAATTTTAGTCTATCAAGCCTCAAATTCCACAGTTGTAAATAAAAATGGTACTAAGCTGGCTCAAAGTAACACTGTTGTTAATCGTAAAGGACAATCTGAAGAGGAACTAAAGATTAATTATGGTTCCAAAGTTGTCTATTCCAAATTTGAAGTTTTTGACTTATTTGATGATGTCCATTGCGTGTTTGGCATGGATCTATTGTATAAAGTTGGTATTACATTGGGTAATATTGCCGCAGATTGGTCTGATCGAATTGGATATGAGATCCCTGATGTTAAGCACAAAGAATAAAAGGATTATTATTTGTAGCTTATAAAAAATGTTCGATATTATAAAAACAAGAAAAGACTTATTTGGATAAGATCAGACACAAAAACTAAAGATTTATTGATGAAGACAAGAGTTATTCTATTTATACTAAGTTCTGAATGCCAAAGTAGCAATTTATCTTGTACAACGCTTATCACATCTGGTAAACCTCAGTATTTAGATAGCTGAGATGCACTTCAATTATCAAAGCTTGTCCATGTTGTTACACAACACAGACATATCTACCTATCAAGAATATCTTAATCTTTATAGACAGTTGTAGCCCTTCTGGCACAACACATTCAAAGAGATGCTTGATCTTATTGATAGAATCATTGTACCAGCAATCAGAGATCAGATAATGAAGACGCAAGATAAGGATAGTAAATACTTTAGAAAGAGACACAGAATCTTGGAAAATCCTTATCCTGTTGGATCTACTGTGATGATAAAGAATATTGAGAACAAGAACAGAAAGACGGATCCAAATTATGAAGGTCCATTTTGCGTTCATGGTCATTCTAGAAATGGAAGCTATATTCTTACTGATAGAACAAACTCGTTCTTAGCTAGAGATGTACCTACGCAGCAAATCAAGTTGATTAGCACGAGTGATACTAGAGACAATCCTTCAAATGCGTATGTCGTTGAAGCTATTATCAATCACAAAGGTAGCGCACCCAATTACAAGTATTTGGTAAAATGGAAAGGTTATAGTGAAGATTGGAATTCATGGAAACCTCCATCTTTGTTTGATTCTCCTGATGTGGTCAAGCAGTATTGGGCGCGAGTAAATGCTAATAATAGCAAGGCATCTAAGGGCAAGGCACCGAAAGCTCTGAGTACCCGAGAGATTGCTACGTGAGAGACTAAATCAAGAAATAAGCGCGAAAGGTTATTAGCTAAAGATGATGTAGCGTATAATTGTTTGGTGAAAGGCTATACCTTTTCCTGTTCACAGTTCCTTTTGTCCCATCGGGTTTTGGATGTGCATAGGTTTTTAACGGTTGCCCTAATAATTAATTATCTATACCAATAATCTATACATAAGTTATATATGCAATTCATGTTTATTATACATAAGATTAATCAAGCAGTAACATGCACCAGATTGTCATATATTAATGATGGTTTTCTTTTTTTTCTTTTTTTTTTCGTTATGTCGGCCTATTATATACTATATGAACTACTACAACTACAATCTACTACAACAATGGTTATGTCCAAGCTTCGCATGTGTCTTATGCTGGTGTGGGGTGGTGTTATATCAAATGTTATAGCAAGGTCTCACATTAAAGGTTTTAGGCTATTCTTAGGTCCTTTGGTTAAATCCTGCTAATCATGATTTACAAATCAATTGTTGGGTAGATAGTAAACCTATTTGTATTATAGTTCATCATCATGCTTTAAACCCTAGCATAACGAAAAAGTATATAAATGCATCCTTGGGATGCATTCTCAATAAAAGTGTAATTCTTTGGCAGATTCAATTTTACATTGTATTTTGACATTTTAGACCAGTTCTACATCAATGTCGCGAAAACCAGAACCTTGGATGTTTTTTCCATATAATAAGCTGCAATATACTTGCGCGCAACACAATGAATGTTTTACAAGTGAACAGCAAATATTTCTCAACAGTAAATTAACTACCTTCGTTGCGGAAGATATAACTGCTACTAAAAAATGAGTATACCATTATATTTACTTAAAATATACTACAGACATCAAATGCCTCTGTAGCTCAGTGGTAGAGCGTTGGTCTTGTAAACCAAAGGTCTGTTGTTCAATCCAGCACCGAGGCATCATTTTTTGCATTTTTTGCCTACGAATGTAGTGTATGTAGACATTGAAAGGACTTCCAGTGTACTTATCGAGTAGATTCATGTAGTTTCACGCATTTTTGGCATCAGGTATTTACTAAATTTATATAAATGTATTGAATCTGGTAAACAGTTCTTGCTCAGCTCAAATGTTCACAGTGGATCGACAAAGAATTAAAAAAATCTAATGCTGAGTATGTTGCAATGCTTGCCACTATTGCATTTCATCCACAATGAAAAGCAGCAGAGAATCTGAACATGTCGCAAATAACTAAATGCAATAACTTTTATCAAAGCTATAGCAGTTGTTGTCATTATTTATAATTTGCTCCTTCATTATCAAGCAAATCCAGGACAAATAGAGAGTAATAATCCACTTTCATCAACATCCACATTTGCTATTGACAATTTGACCAAGTGCAATACAACGCTGAAAAATCAGGCATGTTGTTCTAGGAATCTGATTGTATTCTATGGAAAAATGGCTCAGAAGGGCCAAACATTACTTCGTTCATCTAATGTAGACGTGTAATAGCAGCAGTGCTGATATCTCTTTGTTTATTGCGACCATACTTGTATATTCTGGGCATTCACTGGTATTGAGTGGTGATGATTTTCCCTGAGTTGTTGTGTCTCAAGATAATGAAAAAGCTAATTCTCGTGCTTGCACAAGAAGTATTCAAATCCCAAACATACCCGATTGAGTTGGCTTTTTCTTAAAAGAAACAGATAGTCGTAGCGAGCTTGGTTTGCACATCAGTGCTGTGAGACTTGAGTTTGTCAACAAAACGATTTGAATATGCTATAATGACGCGTCCAGATCGCTAAAATCTGTTTTTCCCGTTAGCAAAATCAAACAGAAGGAACAAGTCTGGCTATATCTTCAATAATACTCTGATTTCAGTGCCACTAAACGCGTCAGTTACCTTATATTGCATTCTTATTGCTATTAACGGTTCAAATGTCTATTACTAGGGAAGTATGTAGTCGTGCTCCTGATAGTCGTTTAGCCTACAAAGGGTTCAAAGGCGCAGAGGGAAAGCCAAACCGTTTCAAATTATTTTCAATCTTGGTAGCTTTACTTCTCAAATAGACCTCAAGTTAAATATTCCATTCACAGGAAGATGTCAAGTTTCCAAAATCTCATGTAATTGTTTCATTGGCATCTAATCCGTTTGCTTCCTTCCTAAAGGCTTCTTTACCTAGAGCTAGAGAAAACGATTATTGAAATTATCCAAATTGCCTTCGAAGAGTAACTTTGCACAGGTGTTCGGTATCGAAGGATAGCATGCACCATAGTACCACAACCAACAGACAACTACGGCCCGTATGCTCGTCAATTTCTTGATTTACCACTATAAATGTCTCACTATCTTTGGCTTGCTTTTGAGAAAGGTCTTAATGGGCAGTATATAGTTTATAACATATGAAAGAAATATGAAATCAAAGGAAAACAGTTGTGTTTGCCATAGATTATCGATGTTCTACCCGTGAACGATATTTATTATTTACTGAGGATTGATCATGAGCTCAGGCTTAACCCAATGATCGTATTCCTCCGAGGAGAGGTAATTAAGAGAAAGCACGGCTTCCTTCAAAGTAGTACCTTCTTTATGCGCTTTTTTAGCACATTTAGCTGCTTTATCATAACCAATGACAGGGTTTAACGATGTTACTAACATAAGAGACTAATATAATCATCAGTTTAAATGAAGCTATCGATATGCACAAATACAACTTACTCTGTTCATAATAGACTGAATGTGATCACGATTAGCGACAATACCAACGACACAATTGTCTTTGAAGGAATGGCATACATCGCTCAAAAGCTTGATTGATTGAAGCACATTCTTAATGATAACTGGCTTGAATACATTCAACTGTACACACGATCACTTAATACATCAACGCTAACATGTCCCATCTATTGTTGCATTACCTCGAATTGGCCATAGCTTCCAGAGACAGTGACAGTCGTATGGTTACCCATGACTTGAGCACAGACCATTGTCATGGCCTCACACTGAGTAGGGTTTACTTTACCTGGCATGATAGAAGATCCAGGTTCATTCTCGGGCAGACTCAATTCACCTAAACCACAACGAGGTCCTACGTAAAAGCATTTTTTTTTATCAATTGTTATGCCGTGTTTCCCTTGAAACCATTTTACCAGATCCCAAGTAACGAATATCATTAGCAATCTTCATCAATGAAACAGCAAGTGTATTGAGCGCCCCTGAGCACTCTACCATAGCATCGTTACTGGCAAGTGCTTCAAACTATGTAGTCGCGTTAACAGACCCCCTTGAAAGCCCTTTGTGTGATCCTTCTTACCTTGTTAGGTGCTGTTTCAAAGGCAAAGCCAGTGGATTCGGAGACAGCCTTTGCAATGTTCACATCAAATCCCTTGTGGGTATTCAAACCTGTGCCTACAGCAGTACCACCTTGTGCTAAGCGAGACAACCTAGGTAACGTAGCTTGAATACGTTCAATGCCATAAGTCAATTGTTGCACGTAGCCAGAGAATTCTTGTCCTAATGTCAACGGAGTGGCATCTTGAAGATGAGTACGCCCAATCTTGATAATGTCTTGAAATTCATCTGATTTGGCTTTCAGAGCATCACGCAGTTGAGTCAATGCAGGAATGAGATCAGTGTTGATCTCAACGACAGCTGCAATGTGCATGGCAGTTGGAAAACTGTAAATGTTGTTAGTGATGGATCGTCCTAATACATGGCATAACACATACGTATCATTGGATGATTGACTCATATTGACATGGTCATTGGGATGAACAGGAGTTTTGCTACCGAGTTTACCCCCCAAAATCTCAATTGCTCTGTTAGAGAGGACCTACAGAGAGAGACAAACTGCTGTGAGCCGGCTTGATATACCGAAATTCCATGCTATACCTTACCTCATTGACGTTCATACTAAAATATTATACAAAAAGTATAAGCAACATTGATATGGAAACGCGCCTATCAAAAAGTAACTTACTGGGTCTGTGTTCCTGAGCCAGTTTGCCAGACAACGAGAGGGAATTGATCATTGTGCTTTCCTGCAATTACCTAACGGTAAAACCTTGTTAAAACCTTCTATGCTTGTGCCACCTGTATACAAAGGCTTTAATTCGACGCCGTACCTCATCAGCAGCTTGTTGAATGGCCTCAGAAATCTTGGGATCCAATTTATATTCAAGGTTGACTTTGGCAGCAGCCTTCTTGAGAATACCAAATGCCTTGATCAAGGCAGGAGGCATGCGCTCACTGGGACCACCGATTTTGAAGTTCTCAAGAGATCTACATGCTGGCTGTTAGTACCTGAATGAAACGCGTATGCCGATTCAAGCAGTTACATGCCTTTGTGTTTGAGCACCCCAATAGACATTGGCGGGCACTTTTAAATCGCCAAAGGTGTCGCTTTCAATACGATACTCTGTAGTCATTTTGTATAATCTCAATGGATTTCGGTAGTGAGAAATGGAGAAAAAGAGATGCGATAGAGATGTTTTGCCATGATGGAGGAGATGTAAATGCTTTTCGACTGTGACTCTGGTTGCCATAGAGTCATTATCATCTGATGGCTGTTGAATTCGTTTGAACGTGTAAACAATGCTATAACCGGATCATCCATCTATGCTCAGTGTGGATTACATAAGGCTGTAGACTCACTCATGAATTGTAACCATAGCGTTTGTTCGCTTGAGTTGAATAGCAATCACTGCAATAAGCATCACTACAAAGCAAAGGCGTCATACACATGTATTCAGCTTTATCGCAAAGGAAAAATGTATGCTTGAAATGAAGCTTGGGAAATTTCATGCGGAAAAGCCATTTCACTCATACTCTCGTACTACAAGAATTTCCTAATTTTCAGATGTCAATAGTGTGCTATTATCAAAAGGACCCTACCCAAGCATGCGTAGGGGCCTGCATCAACTTGCGCTAGATCTATCATCAAATGTGTAATGGCAGATACGTCAACTTGGAGATAGGTGATTTCAATGATCTTTGGTTGGCCATTTTGCAGGGTTCCATGAATGGCCCAATCAGATTATTAGACTCTCGGGTCAAAACCCAAAAGTTCCAGGGACATTGTCCAAACACCCATTGGCACAGAGAGTTAAATTATCTTGAATAATAATGCGTTATGCTGAGGCTTGATACAAAATGTAGAGGTAATGTCAAACCTGCAACAAAATGTGCTGATCTACGCTTCAGTGGTACTCTCAAATGTGCCCTTGGTTAGGTATTAGTTGAAATATCTTGCCAGTATCTTGCCTCGTACAATCTCTTCCTTTGGTTTTGCAACGAGATCGATGTTACGACAAGTAATTTAATTCATTTAAAATACATGTAAAGTAATAGATATTAGATTGCAGTAGAAATAATTTTTAGATTTATCAACCAATTAGAACAGCTTTTCAAGTTGGCTTCTCACATCTTGGCATAGATCTGCAGCCTTTTCAGCCCGGGGATCTTGTTCTGAAAGAGGTAGATAGTACTTGCACTTGAGTCGAGTGTCTAACAGCCAGTTGGTATACTCGTTCTCTACTAATTGCGTGTCCAATTTGTTCAACACTTGGAAAATGGTCAACATATCGTGTCGTAACATGGCAATTCTGTCTCGACTCATATCCAAATCCACAGCTAGGCGATAATGCTCCACAGCGTACCAATGACGACTATTGATAGCGTATTCATCAACATGCTGCTCCTTTGCTTCAACATCTGATCTCTTGGATTGTAAGAATGCCTTGAAACTGTTTGAAACAAATTAGTCGCGTATATCCACAAAAACGCCTATTCAATTACCTGATGGAATCTGCATATGGCGGTTGTATGGAGCTTTTCAAGAACCCTTCATCAAGATCACGCAAATAGACAGATCGAGAAGTAGATTTTTGAAGATATATAGGTTGTTGGTTCATATAGTTGACAGTTGTATCCTTTGGAGTGATATTGAGGTGCAGAAATTCATCTGCTTTGTCTGCCACTCGATGACTTGATCGTATCCAAATGGTAGACATGTATACAGTAAAGCCCATTAAAACAAACATCCCTACAGTCTTCAAGTTGATAGGAGCATAATCAGCTATAGTAGATAACCAATGCTTTTCGGTGGCTGATTCTCCTTGCTGCAGCTCTTGCTTTGATGGCTGAGGCGCCACCGATTTGGTTGCCTTACTGCGAGCATTCTGTTGGGGTTGTTGTTCCAGCCGCTTGGATCGTTGTGGTTGTTTGTTGGGCACATTCAAGCTAATATCGTTGTCTTTCTCCAACGCTGTCATGGTAGATGGGCCTGATGGCGAGGGAGTGGCTCTTTCAAGAGCTTTGCCAGCAATAGTCGTAGTTACAGTGGTGGATGCTACCACAGGCTGGACGATGGAACGAGGGGCTACATCGCTCGATCCCAACTGTTGTGCCGTGTCTGGCACATCAGCAGAAGATGCAATCTCCAGCATGTATTCGTTGTTTGTGGAAGGATCCTGATCTTCTTCTAACACGGAGTGCATGCCGCTTGCTACGTGTGGGGTGGCCTCACTCTTGAGAAGGTTCTTGTTGTGCTCCATCACTTGTTTACGAGCTTCGTCCACGGATTCTTTAATATTTTTGGCAGCCTCTTGCAATATGGGGATAAAGACACCTACACTGTCAGCCATTCCTTTGAGCGCAGCTCTTGTAACAATAGCTATAGTTAACAGTAGTAGAGTGAGTTGGTATAGTCTATTCCTTGCTACATGTGGCTTACCTCGAACAAGCACACTCTTGACCCATCTCACGCCTAAATAGCACGTCAACTGACACTCTGATTTGCTGATCCAAGTAATGCAATATCTGACAGATGGAATGAAAGCATCTGCATATGGAAGAGCAGCAGTTTTTGTAGAGATTTGTACCGTATATCGTCTTGATGGCACTGTTAATACCTGCAATTCTTGATGTTGGAGATGCCACTTACATGTAATCTTCCTTATGAATGAGTACTTGCGTTTCCACCACTTCAGCCTCCTTCATGCGCACTATTAGAAAAGTGTTATTGAAAAAGTGTATTAGACCTCCAAGTGACGCTTACCGATTGGGTTGGACACAGGCATCCAGTACTTCAAGACACGTTGCATTTTTCCATCCACCATGCCCCATTTTGATACGGATAAATCTAATCATTGCACAGGTGAACACAGAATTTAGTATTGTAAGCAATTGATTCACTTACCATGACCCTCAATAGCCGCTGTTTTTTCAGCCCAAACACCTCCATCTGTGGGAGCAGCAGTCTGTTCGTTCGAAAAGAGCAGCTCGTAGCATCGCTTGGCAGAGATGGGAAGCGTGATTTGAGCATCTTTTCTCTCCAAATGATCATCACAATGACACTCAACAACAGAATCAGGACATTCAATATTTGGTGGAGGCATATCAGCTACATCAAATCATTAATCGCGCTGAAATGCTACAATAAATACCAACTTACGATCAGGCTTGGGTGGTTCCATTTTCGTGGGTAGTGATTTAACGGCAGGCGTGGTCAAGACGGGCTTGAGCGGCTCGGATTCACCTCGTTGACGAAATACAGGCTTCAAAATGGACGCAGGGTTGACTCTTGCCTCAGGACCCACAGTAGCAGCATGAGGACGACTACTAGCAGCTACCATTGGAAACTTGGGCGTAACAGATACAATGGTGCCTGTGCTTCTCTCAGCCGTGTTGTGAGCAATATGAGAAAGTGCACTGCTGAATGACAGAGGGAGATCGACGACAACACTCTTGTGGGTTGCCGAGCTTTCAGAAATGTTTAGCATCTTGTTGAATATGTCTTTACTCTGCATTGTTTCTTCCTTCTTTGCGTTACTGACAGCAAATCTCAGTTTCTCAGCAGTGGTTTCAATATCGTCCATCAATGTGCCTAGAATCAAAGGCTCCTTGATATCGCTGCGACTGTTGGGAAGAAGTGTAATCGAGATAACGAGATCGGAATTCATGGCTAGTGCAGTTTCATTGACAAGACGAGCCAGCGATGTGTCCTTAACTATAGTCACTTGGTCAATATCCTTTAATCGTACAGCAACAGAGTTAATGCAGGTCATCAACACGCAGCTATAAAACCAGAAGGTGGTCTGTGTAATGAAACCACGACCCGTGTAAGCATAGCCAAAGTCTGAAGGTGGTTTTAAGCCAGTTTGTGTCAAGTGATGTTCCAATTCCTTTTCGTAGGTATCCGCACTAGATGAACGCGTTGTCGATTTGGCAGTTTCAATATCTGTATCGTATTGAGTAACAGCAGGCTGCTTTCTGAGACAGCAAACAAATACTACAGCACACATCAACAGAAATTCTTTATCATGTTACAGCAACAACTTACCATCAAGCACTATTTCCTCAGGCTTGACACCCCCAAACAAGCGACGAAGCTCTCTGTTCTGAGAGTTCATCCTATCTGGATATCCATCAATACCAACACTTGGAATATGAACAGAAGCCGGTTTAGCAGGCCATATGACCTGAGGCAGAGAAGCAGCAAGGATGGGTGCTTTTGAGGCATTAGGATCAAGCACACTGAAATCCTGTGTCGAGTTCATCATAGCAGGTACCAACGACCATGGTATGCCCCATGATCCAGCAGGGAGTTGCTTTGCAGAAGCAGCAATGTCCACGGAGGAGGTAGGTGCTGAACCTAAGCCTCGAGAAGCCTCCCAGACCAGCAGTGGAGTCAGTGAGGATGAATTTGCAAGCGATGCTTTTGTGTCAGGTGTGGTGGATACCATGACAATGGATGGCCCTTCTTCCGAGCAGTTTTTAGACAGAATAAGCGAGCTATCATTAATGAGAGGGTATTTTTGATGGTTGTTACTGATGATGGACATGCTGGAAAAGGTAGAAGATGAGTCTGTGCGCTTGATTTTAGGCGATGAAGTATTGGAATGCAAGATATCGCTGTTCGTGGTGGCAGTAGGTGAAGATAATGCGGTTGTGGCAGTAGATTTTGATCTGATAAGAGTAGGTGATTTGGTCAAGCTCATGGGTGATGAGGGTGCTTTCTCGCCTTCTGCAAACTGCTTATTCTTATCAAATACTCTCAGCCAATCTTGTTTCATTTCCTCCGTCTCTGCTTGCAATACAAACGAAGCTTGCTGTTTGGGCTGAACGACTTCAAAGCAGAAACGTCTATCGGCATCAGCGACGGCATGCACTTGACAATCGGCTAAACGTATTTTAGCTTCAATCGATATAGAACTCCTGTGCTTGCCAGAGCTGTTGACCTGACACACACCCAAATAGCCATCATGGATAAAGAGCCATTTGCGAGACCATGAATGGCGAGAGACTCGCACAAACAGATAGCCCCACTTGGAGTTCATCATGCTTCCATCTGATTTTTCTGTTTGTAAAGGTGTAACGTATTTTCCGATATCTCGCTCAGGTGCTGTCAGTCTGATGAATTCCTCCTCCAGCTTTCTTCTCGCTATTTGCTGTCTGTGCAATTGAAATGAACAGGTAAATTTATCCTATACAGATTTGCATCAAAATCTCGTCTAGTAACCATGCACACATATGTAATCCTACATCAATAAGCCATTGCTTCCAGTACGATAATGCAGCATCGAGATTTGCCCACACCTGAATGTCCTTGTAGAAATCCTTATGTGCAACAGTGGCAGCAGTGAATCGCTCCACAAGACAATGCTCCAACAGCGAACGAAAGTTCAGAATCCTCAGTACATGTTGACCGGACATTTTGACATACTCCTTTCTCGCTTCATGCAATCGAAATGCTTCTTCTCTAACCGCAGAAGGTTCTTTTGATTTGCTCAACCCGCTATATTTGGCCAACTGGCTTTCATACTTCTCCATAGCTTTTTCATGCTGCTTTCTAAAGTCCTGTATGGATCATCAACGCCCATCCCATCTACTACAGCTGCTATCCGGAATTTACCTTAAAATCTCGTAGATGTGTCTTTAAAAATTGCTGTAGTGGCGATATCAGGCTTTCCTCGAGGTTATGAATCTATAAATGGCATAAATAAAACTATAAACGGCCATCATGAGTTACACATAGTTACTAAATTGGTTTTAAAGGACAAGCTTGTTTGTAGTGCATCTGCAAAGCCTTTGATGATTGCTCCAGTGAAATTGGGATCTGTTATAGTGTGGTTGATCGGGTGAATTAGAATATCCGAACATTTCATTTGCAATAAATAGAATCTGTTTAGGTACCTATCAGTGTCTCATCCAGGCCATCTGGTACCGCTTTCTGACATAATATCAATGTATCCGCATTGAATTCTACAGAGATAAATTCAGTAAATGTTTATATGCAACAATGTATGCATGTCTTTACTGTTCAATTTCTCGGTATATAATCTCAAATGACGTGAAAGTGAATCTAGCCAATGCTCCAAATGTTCAAGTTGCTGGTCATAGCGATAGACGCTTGAACGAAACACAGGGGAATCTGTTACTGCGTCATATAATGTGATGATGGGTTGAAATGAAGGTTCCTCCATAGTGAGAGGTTTCTACTCTAAACAATGCAGAGGCGAAAGAGAAAGAAAATGAGAAAAAAGCCCTTGAAATTTAATTAACACTTTCAAATTTGACCTACACCACCAACACAATAACACGGGTAATTTTTGTCAACAGGCAACAGAAGAGCGGGATGCTATTCTACGATAATAGGCATTGGAATTGCGCGCACGCTTGCCATTTAAGAGCTGTCATGGCGAGTTTGCGCCTCCATTTGACATGGTGCCAATGTAAAAAGATGATGTTCTTGTTGCCATGGCAACTGTTTTCATACACTGACACCAAATAAGCTTCAATGCCATGGCTCTCTCAAAAGCCCCAATGGATCAGCATATGACAATGATGCGTTATACGGTCACATTTGATCATGATGATATATACATTTGAATGTAGATAGAACAGCCAATGTTTTCCCAGTTAATAATTTAACAATTCTCACATAAATTCAGACATCCAACCCTTAAATTTTCCCCACACTTTTTCCTTTTTCCTTTACAATACACAATACGAAAATGTCGGCAACAGCGTTATATGACAAGGCATTTCGATCCTATCTACTGACGAAATATACACCTGCAGCCAACACTTGTTTAAAAGCCATCGTTGCATTGAAGAGCGATGATCAGGACTCGACTCGACTCAACATCTGGACGCTCTACTTGAACATTGCATCTACGCTACTTGTGAATACACCCTTTCTAGGCATTAACATGAAATTGCTCGGCATTCCACCCGCCAATTCGATGGAACAGGTATGTCGCTCCATCTGGAACAAGGTGTCCACAGAAGGTTATGGAAGTGTTGGTAATACGGATGCTCGTCTTGTTTCTGCTTGGTAAGTTAGCTGTTGAGTGGTTGATTGGTGTAGGAGCGTGGAATGATTGACATGCTATATAGTATTGCTATGAACATTGAGCTGGATCAACTGGCTGTTGCAAGAAGCATTGCAGAGGAGTGGTTTGCGTCTTTGTCTGACGATGTGATGGACCGTATTTCAGCCAACCGAGAGCCAGATCAAGTAACGGAAGGCTACAACAAGGTGGTGGAGCTCTACGTTGGCCGCACGCTATCCCGTATGCATGATTTTGAATCTGCAAATACATTTTTAGACTATAATTCAGTGCTGACTGACACTAAAAAGAAGGTATATTTCACATTCCATAATTTGGTATTACATAATCTGATATAATGTATGGCGCTTAGGCTTTCAAGGACATTATTGCTCAAGAGCAAGCATCTGTGGAAACTGAGCGCCAAAAGAAGATTCAAATCGAAAAGGAATTAGAGGAAAAGAAGAAGGAGGAGGAGAAATTGTTAATAGAAGAAGCCAAGCGCATCGAAGAGGAAAAATTGGCACAAGAAAAGCAAAGATTGGAAGAGGAAAAGGCACAACAGGAGCAGGCAAGAAAGGCAGCAGAGGCAGCAGAGGCAGCAGCATCAGAGAAGGGTACGTTGCAGCAGGAAAAGGACGATGCAACGACATCTCGATCTGTCATGAGCCAATCTTCCGCACCACAACAACCAAGACAACACCCGCAAACAGTAGTTCGAAAATGGATGAATCAAATCACGACTAAAGGAGCAACTACATCTGGAGCCATTTTGATTCTGATCTTTGCACTGTTTGCTCTATTTCGGGGTCAAAGGGGCCGTCTGTCTGTTGCGCTCCAAGGATTAATGAACAAGTTATGGCAGACAATCAAGATGGGTACCAAAGTGACCTACATGTAAAAAAATGAACAATAAAGGATTTTCCCCCCATCGTCATTTGCAACATTTGGGTTGTTGATCTAAATTGCTGGCCCTTCTTTTTGGGGGTCAAATACACCAGGTATTTTGTGCGTGATTCGACATCATGACGTATGAGAATGACAATGTCAATGTTTATAATAAAGGAATATCCACTCAACATGTATACTCCTTTTGTCTGTTCAAATACTTCTCCCTGCTATTACACACCGTCTCCTTATTTATTCACCGAATGCAAGGACAACCAAGAAGGAAGCATTATCATACAGAATTTGAAGCACCCCATCCATTTCTTGCACTCTGGACAAATGTGGCGGGTCACCAATATGGTGCACTGATACGGTTGAGTAACCAAACATAGGTCTGATTAGCCAACGACACAATGTACCGGCAAAACAGAGCATTATAAATAAGGGTAAACATCCACGGATTTGAGCAAAATATCGTGTCTGGCCTATCAGATGCTGCAGTTTCACTTTTGTTACCTTGGCAATCAAAGGGCAGCAAGCACTCCGAATGCAAAATTATAGTTGGGGTTTCTTTGTGGTTGATGTTTTACGGCATGTGAAAATGGATAATGGAGCTCATTACATATATAAATGACATTCATATCAAATAGCCTTCCTTCATTTAAACCCTTTTTTTTTTCCTAGTTTATACATACACAATGATACCAGATTCACCGTTTTCTAGAGGGTTCATCTACGCATCTGCCGTAGTTCAAACAGCAGTTGCTCCATTTTCGTTTATTTATTATGTCTACTATTTCGCTGCCGAGCAAAAGCTATTTACACTTCATTCCGCGGTCGACACATTTATTCACTACTGGCTGGGATGTGAGCTCATGTTCTATGTCTTTTTCCAAATCACCCGCAACAGAATGCAGCGAATTCTGCCCAGTGTTGCTCCAAATGCCAAAGAGAGAAGTGATTTGTACTCTGTTTGTTTGGCAAACATTGACGATGCTGAGACATGGTTGCCAGATTGGTTCACCTTGAGCCATGATCCCGCCAGCCATCCCAAATTCGAAGATATTGGCAGAGACAACGTAGCTGAATGGTAATGGTAGTTGAACTGTAGTAAGGCTCTATAGACTGATGCAGCAGATAGGTTGGCGTGGGCCTTCTTTTCCTTGCCTTTGGAACAGGTCTTGCAAGACGACATTTTAACAGAAGAGCTGAATTTCATGATTGACAGATTTGAGCAAGAATTCCACATTCAGTTTGACCATGGCTACAATGAAGACATTGTCGCCTACCGCATCAACTTGGATCCTGTGCACGCTTATCACCGCCCTCTTGCCTTCTACACGCTCATCATGTTCCTCACTGCTTTGTTTGGCTTTGTGTGTCAGTTTTTTTGGGGCATGAAGAAATTTGGACCCGAGACACGATCCATAATTTGGAATTTGATGGATCCTCAATCGTATGAAACTGCAGCCACGGTCGATGGGGATGGCAGTGCTCCTCAAAAGGTGTCCTACTGGTTCCGTGATGGTGATCGTACCAAGAAGCCCATCGTCTTTATTCACGGTATCGGTGCTGGTCTCATGTGTTACGTTTCATTTGTACACAAGCTCTTGACTTTGGATGCTCCCATTTTTTGTATTGAGCTCCCTTTTGTGTCCATGCATTGCGTAGAAGATGTGCCTACTATGCAGGAGACCATTCGCGATCTGCAAAATATGCTGCATCGTCATGACTTTGAGGATGCCGTCTTTGTTGCTCATTCACTAGGCACTGCTGTCGCCTCTTGGGTGGTCAAGTACATGCCGCAAAGTGTAGCTGGTGTCGTATTTCTGGATCCCATCTGTTTCATGCTGCATTACAAAGATGTGTGCTCCAATTTTGTGTATAGAACGCCCAAAACTGCTGCTCAGGTAAGATGACTAATTTTGCTGCCATCGTGTGCATGTTGCTTATCTATCTTATACAGGGCCTTGTCAAGTACTTTGCTTCCACTGAGCTGTACATTTCTTACTATATCTCTCGCCACTTTCACTGGTACCAAACTGCGTTGTACGTCGCCCCCACTGTCACCCATCATAACCACTCATATACCTCCTCCATCAAAATGCCCGACAACACCAAGGTATTCTTGTCTGAAAAGGACAACATCATCGACTCAAATCGTGTAGACACCTATCTGAGCCATCACGGCGTCGATGCCACTGTCATGAAGGGACTGGATCATGCCTCTTTTCTGTTTTATCCTTCCTGGCAAAACGAAATGTTGGCTTCTGTCAACAGCTTTATATGTCAAAAGTCCTAATTTCTGTTTAAAATTACTGTATATATCCAACTACTACTACCTAGACGTTCTTTATTGTATCCCCCCCTTTCTCTTTCCAAACTAATTTAATGTTACCCCATTCATTTCATTATTAAAAATAAAATGAAATCATCCAGAAACCTAAATCTAAAATCCATTCATGCAAGCTTCTTTGAATCAATCTAAAATGGACCATTTATTTCGTCATGGTTGAATTGACATATGGAGTGTATATTAAAAAAAGTACATTTGAGAAGGTATCGACATATCTTGGTCTTGCCACTATACAACTGTTACTCCAATTCGCTGTGCTAATCGCTGATACTGTTCTCTGGCAATCTTTCGCTGTCTCCACATGAACACTGCCACTGAAATGACCATGATGGCCGCATTGATCCCCTTTTGTATGCAAATAAAAGCTGCATTAAATATGAAGCTATTACACAGTTGCAATTTCGAACTACTCACCTCAAACTTGATGAATCTGGCTCTTTCCACACTCCTCACTCGAGGGCATGCTCGGAAAGACGGTAAAGATATCGCGTCATCTTCATAAAAGGCTGTTTGGTTTTTCCTGTCTGCTAGTTCTGGATCATCCCACTCGCAGCGCACTGGCTCTTTATTGCCAAACTCGACGCAATAGGGTTGTGTTTTCTACAAATCGTTAATGCTCTCTCCTATGTTCATGTAATGCAAATGTTACCTTTTCTAATGGTGAGCAAACTTGACACTCTCCAATTGAGTAGCAAGTATAGGTCGACTTGTCTACTGTTTCATGAGAATGCGTATAGTCTCCCAGAGTGCGAGAAGCAGCGTTTGTATCTTGAGCAACACCAAAAGGAGGTGTTCGTTGATATTGAGTTTCAGCTAGTGTGATTGTAAAAATGCAACTGTATACAACATATATTAACACCATGGGCAATACTGTTTAATATCCTTATTACTTGCCTGAATATGACTAGAGCAAGGTATCGCATTACTTGATATAATGGTAAATGAAGAAGCACACACTTGATGCTTTTCAGCATTTAACTGAGTTCTTAATGTGACGTTTTCGCATAGGCCATCAACCCCCTTCCAAACGGTTTCTGGATGGTTGTTGTTTAGATTTCAACTGTCAAAAATGCAAAGAAAGTCTTTGTGGGGTTCCTATAAAGCATTGTCACCGAAAACTAGAATTACATTGGGCCTCGGTAAGGCGTCATGTCTTTTGAAATCATGCTAGTGAACTCACATGTTGCATGATTGCAGGTGGAATGTTGTTTGCTACTGCAGGCATGTATCTAGCTGACCTGATTGAAGAGCAAAAACCAGCATCTGAACTCGAGAAACAAGAGCTTGAAATGATGTCTCCTATTGTCGTTGTAGACCATCAACCCAAGAAATAAGTTTACATCTCAAAATACCATCTCCAAAACTGAAATATCAATAAATCAAGGTTTCTTTTTAAACTTGCCCATGTGTATATACAGTTCAGATATGTGTGAACATATATAAATAACGAGAGTTCCATGCGTTAGAGTTGATTTACTCATATATACGTTACAAAAATGAAGTTTCTTTCCATCTACAATGCAATTACGATCACTGCTTTCTGGTTATCAGCTACCCTCACTCAAGCTACTGTGATCCCATTACCTGCAGCAAACCCTAATCCTGTACTCAACTCGTTTACGCAATTCAACTGGTCTACTGATGCTCAGTTGCTGGACCAAACTTTCGCTATCGATTTGGATGCTCCTTCTAGAGTGCATGTTACTGATTTGGATCCCCATGGCCCTGGTTTTGCTGTTTATGACAATGGTAATTTTGTTGGTGAAACAGCTACTGTTATTACCAAGAATAATCCATACGGTGCAGAAGAATATCATTATCGTCAAGGCTTCTTTAATCTGGATACAGGACATCATGCCATTACTGTCAAGTTGAAAGGAGGAGCTAAAACTGGAAGCGGAGCTATCAGAATGGTGCCTGGCGTTGATAATGAAATGACTGTATTGAGCGACAGTGCTGATGTTGTCGATGGTCAAACTGTTGATGCGGAGGATGTTATAGAGAATACAGATCAGATTGAGGACATCTTTGAAGTCGATGAAAGTAATGATAGCGATGAAGGCGATGAAGACGATGAAGACGATGAAGACGATGAAGACGATGAAGACGATGAAGACGATGAAGACGATGAAGATGAAGACGATGAAGACGATGAAGACGAAGACGATGAAGACGATGAAGATGATGAAGACGATGAAGACGATGAAGACGGTGATGAAGACGATGAGGATGATGAAGATGATGAAGACGATGAAGACGATGAAGACGATGAAGATGATGAAGAGGACAAGATTGACGAGGATGGCGAGGATGATGAAGATGATGAAGACGATGAAGACGAAGACGATGAAGACGATGAAGATGATGAAGACGATGAAGACGATGAAGACGGTGATGAAGACGATGAGGATGATGAAGATGATGAAGACGATGAAGACGATGAAGACGATGAAGATGATGAAGAGGACAAGATTGACGAGGATGGCGAGGATGATGAAGATGATGAAGACGATGAAGACGATGAAGACGATGGAGACGATGGAGACGATGAAGACGAAGACGATGAAGACGATGAAGACGATGAAGACGATGAAGACGATGAAGACGATGAAGACGATGGAGACGATGAAGGCGATGAAGACGATGAAGACGATGAAGACGATGAAGATGAAGACGATGAAGAGGACAAGATTGACGAGGATGGCGAGGATGATAAAGATGATAACGATGATGAAGATGATGAAGATGATGAGGATGATGAAGACGAGTATATTACCATTGGAGATCCTACGCAGGATTTTGATTACTTGACAAACATCTACGACGTCCCTCAAGATATACCACACACTATCACTCTCACTACTACTCTCATGGTAGATGTCTATGCCGCAGAAACATTTGATAAGACCGAGACAGAAACCACTACTTCGACAACTGTTATTGGGTTCGCCTTTTTAGAAAATACTTTTGAAGAATCTGCTGCCGTAGAAGCTGTTGGAGATGTCAGTGATACTCAAGAAGAGTAAGTTTTTTCCATTTAACCAAATAGACGGTTTAATCTGTGTATATGCATTGTAATCAATAAACCAAAATTGTCAAAGAGCCTGGTATCTTTTAGTAAAAGCTCTAGTCATTTCTATACGTCCCTTTTCAAGTGTCCGTAGAATTTTTTCTTTATTACTACGAGTGTTTACATTCTGGATGGTTCTCTACCTTCGCTTCGTTTCGGTGAGAACCAGCCTGCGCAGCGGCAGCTCACGCTACCGATTACCTTTGTGTATCTTATAAAAATACTGCTACTTTTGTTTTGACCCTCCGCTTACACATGGAAACCCTTTATATTATCTGTGGATCTGATTCTTGTGTGATGCTCTATATCCATATACGCGTAGCTACTTTATATACGGGCAGGTAGCATACTGGTATTTCTTCTTTTTAGCCCTTAGTGTCCCTGACGCAGCAAAAAATGAGTACATTTAGGTCGTGATTTCTCGCGATAGAAGCGGTTTTAGATCGTCAGAATAGCACCAAACAATTGCTCTCGTCTAGCTCTACCTTGCTGACACCTTTGTTCAACTTTTTGGGGACCCAAAAAACATGGTCAAAAATCGACAAAAAAGCATGAGGTACCCCTCATGGTTTTCATCGAAAATCAAACGATCGCGTTTTTCACATTGATAATGAAGACTTTTACTATGGTATATACTGAATCAAAATGTTTCTATCGATCTAACGTAACCACTGAAATCATCTTTGTGGGATTTTGATATGTAAAATTTCAACTTTTTGGCCAGAAACCTCATTTCATATTTTCATAATTTGCTCAGTAAATTTATTCGAAACATTTACCTTACTTGGTACCATTGGATGCGCTTTGAAAAGTATTCCAAGAATGTATTAGAAAGTACGGGCTGATCATCACAATTTTATAGTCGAACCTCGCAAAATTATTCAACCAAGTCGATAAAAGTCAAAGTTTGGCCAATCTGAAGCAACTTTTTTGGGAACGGAGCTAGAAAATATTATAGCTGGCTAAATACCTTTCTGAAGCAAATAATCGAAGTTTGTGGTGCTGATAAAAAGTGGATTATGTTTCAAAGTATTTATCACTTAGTCCTACTATATCTTTTTTGCATAAATTACATATTAGGTTGTCTGGCAGTCCACAATGCCACAAGGCGCTCCTCCAGATGCAAGCCATCCTAATTGAGACGTTACGGTAATGTGGGCGCAGGTATACAAGATTATATACACACTGTATGAATTAAAGTTAGTTTTAATATCAAAGATATAGTTTCATTTTAAAAGTATACATTTATTAATTAGGGTAAGAAGTATTAAGATAAAATAAAAAGTAGTAAAGAGTAGTATAGTTAATAAGTTCAACGAATTACTTAAAAGAAACCTTGCTTATAGGCGAGACCACCAATGGCCAAACCAAGACCGTAAATGATGATGGCATATAGGCCACGAGCATAACGGTTGTCAACAATGAGCTCAAGAACAAACCAAACAACAGCGACAGCAACGATGAACCAGGTGATAATCATAACAGCACGAGTAGAAGCACGAGCAAATGTGTTCATAGAAAGTAAACATACCAGGGAGAAGAGAGCATCTTTGATAACATGATAGCCTCTTTCCAAACGAGGAGCAAAAGTACCTGTCATGACAGGAGCCTTCAAATGGAACTTGTTCTTGTGGACATCATCAGCATTAGTAGCACCAGTTGCATCTGTTGCAATAGCAGCTTCAGGATTCGTTGTTGTAGGAGAGACAGTTTGGCCTACAAAGAAGGATCGGACAACCCAAACCAAACCCCAAATGACCCATAATGTCATGAAGGCGATCCAAGTGACACGGACATGCCAATCTTCAAGGAAGAGGGTCTCAGAGCCGTAAAGAGACTCGTCAGCGATAGGAACGTTACCAGTAGTATCAGACATGGTTGTAATAAGAGAGAGAGAGAGAGATTGTTTTCTGAATAGATATATAGAATTACTTTGGATTTGTAATGAAGTTCTGTTCTCCATGCTGTTTGATCTGATATTTATATTAAAATTTGTCGCCTTACATCGGAACTGCATTTCAATCTTATTGGTGTACCATCACACAAAGGAAACGATTCTTCCATCATGGTCATGGCCTTAAAGTTTGCATAAAATTACAAATACATTCGAGAACATGGAACTCTAAATAACATGTCACTTGCAATGAATATCTTTACAATGCCATGATAGCAAAACTAAAAAAAAAAAGTCTTGTGATTTTCATATTGTTTAGCCTTTTCGTAAACATTGCCTAGAAATGGACGCCTCTGCCATATCTATAACAGCATGGCATGGCTAAATTTTTGCCAATGACTGGCTCATTGTAGCATGTTGGTGCAAATCTCGGTAAATCAATGTAAGCATTTATAAGAAATACCATGATATCATTGATTTGCTCATGATAGACAAGGGGGTGGAGGTAAAGATTGCTGATAAATACAATAACGACACAAGGGAAGAATTGTTCGACATTCGGATTATTTTTCGTCCGAATTTCAAAGGTGTTTATAATATAGCCGCCGCAAAGTATAAAGTTCATTGTTTGTGACAGATTTGGGATATTTAGAGTTGTAATCATGGTACCGTTGCAATATTGGTTACTCGAGGCACATATTGCGCAGTTCACTGATATGTATAAAAGTCCAACAAAATCCAAGTGCAGGACAGTAAAGAGATTGATTGTAGCAACCAACAGCGATTTTCATGGTGATGTATCGCATCAGATCTACCAAATCGATTATCTCAAAGGGCATCAAAAGGGCACGAATAATCCAGAAACTTTTCGAACATGTTACGAAATTAGGGGTATTTGATTCACCTTGATTGGTTATGTCTAGCATTCATCGGCTGAAAGATGAACAATGTTCGGCTTTCAAATATTCCATTTCATGCGGGTGCCTGTCAAAACACTTGATCCAGTTCCGAGATGAGGCGAAGCAAAAACAAGTATATATATATACGTCCATCATTTCGCATCAACATGCTCTCCATCATTTTATTCAATTAATAATACAAACAACAACAACAACAACAACATGTCTGCTACTACTACTGGTATCAAAAACCTCATCTATGCCACTGAAACTGATTTCGTTCAAGATTGGCACGTCCGTGTTACTTGGATCGCCTTCATGACATTATGGGTCATTTGGGGTTTGGTTTGGGTCGTTCGCTCATTCTTTGTGGGTCAAGTTGATTCTGCTGTAACAACGAATCCTGAGGTAGCCACTACTGCTGCTGATCCTGAGGTCGCTCACAAGAAATTCTCCTTAAAGACGCCTGTTGTCAATGGTACATTTGCTCCCCGTTTGGAAAGAGGTTATCAAGTTGTCAAGGATGCTCTTTTCTCTCTTCTTTGCTTGCTCTCTATGAATACATTTGCTCGTGCTTCTACTTATGCTGTTATGATTCTTGCTTGGTTCTTTGTTGCATTTGCTGTATTCTGGTTTGCTGTCGAACTCGTTGTCGATAACCGTTATGTTCGTGTTCTTTACACTACCATCTTTTACGGTCTTGGTTTGACCATCGGTGGCCTTGCCTACAAGCAAGGCTTCTTCTAGACGCATACACTTATATCTAGCATCCAACAACCTCTCCGCATATAATACTATTACCTATTACTTATTCTTTACTTACTAAATTACTTGTGACAATAAATTTACTCTAATTGTATGTCATGTAGACTTTAAAATCGTACAAAAGAGAATCTTCCATCATTTTTTACCCCACAGCTGCGTTTCACATGAAAGAATTTCCCATAATGTATTTAAAGGCAGTGCTGATTTGACACCAGGAAAGATGCAATTGTTTTATTTCATGAAAGGGTGGCGCAAACTACTCGTCATTTCCTTCTGCCATGGCTGCTCTTGCCTCATCCAACTCATCCTGCATGATCTTTTTACGCACCAAAGCCGCCTTGGCCAGATCCAGTCGGTTATGCTTCTTGAATACAATGGCCAAGCGTCGATCTGCATCCATTCTTTTTTGTACATTCTCCAAATACGTATCCATGTCTAAAATGCCTGTTTGAACTTGAATGACAAGCATATTCATCTTGATTTCCAATGCTTGCTTTCGATCCTGCATATCATCTTTTTGCTGTTTGCCGGATTTTGATGCTAAATTGGAATTGACGAGATTGAGTTCATGCTCCATAACCATGTTGGAGACAATGTTATCCACGCTAGATATGTATTTAGCTCAAAATCATGTACTATGCATATGCAAACTCACCTATTAAACTCTTCTTCAGCTGCCTCTAATTCACTGTTATCAGATGCAGCTGATTGCTCTGCTTGGGTGGGTTGCTGCTTTTCAACAGACGCTTCAAGTTGAGTCGTAGTAACTGGGATTTCCTCTGCAGGTGTATTGGGTGTTACAGGGTCAGCCTGTCGTATTTGAGGGGATGAGGAAGGTGGATGCTGAGGGCCACCCACGGTCAAATGAGCCAACGACAAGCACTCTGACACGGTGCTTCCAAATGCATCTAACACCAACCAACGCTCTGATCTTTTGGCAATGTCTTCACCTGTCAATGGCTCTCTCAAATTCACTTGGATATCTATTTTGCCACCTGTCTTTTTTCTACTGCCATCCAGCAACTACAACATTACATTCAATAACGCATTTGATACAGACATCATCACAACTTACATCAAAGGCACCTGCAATGGATGACTTGGTCAATAATCGGTCCATAGGAATCACCACTTTACCAAGAGACACAGGTCTTCTAAACAAACCATAGGTATACTTGTTGTGAAACACTTCAATGGTCAATTTCTTTCGCTGAACATAACGCTGAAACAATCGATTGGTTCGACTGATGGGTATTTGAAGGGTAAAGTCGAACTCTGGATTGATGCCTGACACCACAGATGTTTCTCCCTTGTTCATGGCTGCTTGCGCTGTGTTCTCAGGCGGCCAACCGCCGAAATCCCAGGTGACAAAAGGCTCCAAGTTGGTAGAAATGTCCAAGGTAGGTAAACTGATGGCCTTGATGATCTTGAACTCCATCATATTGTCAGGTATCGTGTCCAGCAAGTTTTTGTATGTATAATCTACTTGCTCATAGTGTAGAGGGGGTATGTTGGGCTTTGTTGCATGGAGTGATACCAAATCTGCGGAAATGGCTTCTTCTGTTCTGGCATACGCATCTTGTTGTTGTGAGTTCGCCAATGTCTTATTAATGGCTTTACCGCGAGCAGCAGATAAGGCGTGCTGAATAGACAGGTTGTGGCATACGTTCATTTGGTATCTCAATTGTGCCTCAATTTGATCGAATGAAGTTACGTTGGGTCCTCGTAAAATGGGCTCCACTTGACGTATTTTGCCATCTCCTAGCGACATGTCTGGTTCTTCTGGTAAACGCACTGTGTCAAGTTCGACAATTTCGCCATTCTTGAGGCGAATACCAGTGTGCAGTAGCTCCTTTGAAGTGCGCACCATGTGCTTTGCGGCAGCAAGGTTTCCCAAGCCCTTATAGTAGATGGCAGCCTCCTTGTACTGCTTTTGCAAGCTGATCACTTTACCGAGGAGGTCCTGAACCTGCTGCAAATTGTTGGTAGTAGCAGCAGCTCGCTGAGATGCCGGTTGTTCTTGTTCTTGCTGGGGTGGTGGTGGTGGTGAAGTAGCAGGTTTCGCTGGTTCAGATGGTGGCGTGCGTTGCTGTTGCTGTAATTCTCGAGATGGAGCTGGTTCTGGCGAGGATTTGGCAGGAGGCTGATCCGTATCCATGAGTTCATTTGACGCTCCATGAATCTCCAGCAAATCTTGGTGCTTCTGAGTAAAGTTTTTCGATTCACGCAGTAATGCAACTGCCCTCTTTTTATCACCGTCTCGCTTCGCTTGCAACGCCAACTTTTGATACTCCTGAGCCTTTGCCTTCCAGAATTCTGGGTCAATAGACTCTTCTTCTTGTTCTTCAACGCCATCTTGAGTATCATCTTGTTGCTCTGTCATCATGGCTTGATTAACAGAAGACTTGCGAGGAGGATGTGGTGGTGGTAGTGCTTGTGGCTGTTGCGCTTCATCCGCTTCAACCTCTTCTTCCTCGTCAACAGGTGGTGAATCAAACAAATAGTTGGCTGCTCGCTCCAGGTTATTATCAAACATATCCAGTGCTTTCAAAGCCTGCTTTTGAGTAAATCCCATATTCATCAACTCCTTTGCCTCAGGTCCAAGTGGTGCCACTGGCTCCTGAGATACTGCATTTGAAAGCGATGAAAGTTCATTCTACAGCATACAAACATGAGCGACACACTACGAGAGAAATCAAATAAGCTTTACCAGTAGATGTGGGTCCTGGAAATCTCTCTCATCCAACTCCACCTCAATGTCTTCATCGCCTTGAGCTAAGGCTGCATAAGAATCAATATCAATCTCCATGTTTTGAGTTGGTAGTGGTGCTTTTCTGACTGGTACTGGCTTCTTCTTGGGTTTCGCTGTAGCAGTAGAGGATGAAATCTCTTGCAGTTGTTTCTGTGACCCACATGAATACCGTTTACTCTTCATCACTGACTACAACTTACCAACAATTCGGGGTCGTTCATGTCCAAGTCTTCATCGACATCTTTCATGGTCGAGTTGAGCAGATCGTCAATGTCGTTTATATCAAAATCCTTTGCAGGATTGCTAGATTTCTGCTTTCCATACATCTTGATAAAGTGAGAAAAAGAGGAGGAGTTTGCTTGTTACATGTTGGCGATTTTCCATGAAATCAGTCTGCAGCTGACTCTGTTAGATGATGATGGAAGTTGCCTATCATCCGGACCGAGCGAGGTGTACAATGGGTGGCAGTGACCGTTCAGATCATTGGAAATGGTCACTTACAAAAGGTTGAAATACATCAAATATTTTTTTCTATTCTGACAAGCTCTCTGATTTCGATATTACACACATAATGTCTGCTGCTGAATCGGCTCCCATGGACAGCGCACCTACTGAAAAGCCTGTCAAAGAAACACCTCCAGTGCCGAGTGGACCTGTCGATAAGCGCATCTACATTGGTGGTTTGCATCCCTCGACGACCGAAGAACAGATTGTAGAAAGATTCAGTAAATTTGGCCAAGTCAGCAATGTCACCATTGCCAAGAATACAGACAGTGAGTGTTGTGGCCAGTCTGTGTATTAGCCAGACTACTTACCATGCTATTAGATGAGTGTCGAGGATTTGCGCACATGACCATTCACACAGAACCCAAGAAATGGGATGCATGTAAGCCAGGAGAGATCAGGCTGTGGATCGCAGTACTGACATTTGTATGCTTATAGGTCTCAGTGTGTATAACGGTGCCAAATGGAGAGGTCAAGAGCTGAAATTAGAGGAAGCCAAGATGGACTGGCAAGAGCGCAAGCGTCTTCGAGAAGAAAAGATAATGGAGCAGGAAGAAAAGAAAAAGAAGCGTCTCCTGAGATGGAATGACAGTGATGGTTTCCATGCCAAAGATATGACACCAGTGACAGACAACAACATGGGCACCAGAAAGGGCTGGAAACGCGGACGCTATGGAAGAGCCATCTCCGTGATGCGATTAAAGAAGGACGACGGCACTAAATTCGTATTTGAACCCACACACTACAAGAACAACTTGACCAAGCTCTACAATATTGGCGTGCGCATGAAGCCTGTCAGCCAGTTGATCACCAAGATAGGCGATGAGAGTTCAGACAGCGAGGATGATTGGCCATCGTATTCCAACAAGACCAGGGATCAAGATGAAGAAGAAGAGGAGGAAAAGGCGACACACACAGCGATATCAATGACTGACGATGAAAAGCGAAGAGCAGCCATGGAAAAAATGTTTGAGGAGCAACGAATCAAAAAGGAGATGATCAGTAAAGCACTTGCTGGACAAGCAGAAGGACAGAATCACACTACATTTGACAATGATGACGACGATATCCAGGTGGACGATGCCTTTCGTATGGACGTGGATCAAGAGGAACAAGAGCCCACGAAGCCCATGGACGCCAAAAAGTGGATGTTTGATTCCGACGAAGACGATGATAGCGACGAGGAGTTGGACATCAAAATCAACCCTGTGCTGGAAGGCGAAGCAGGCCGAAAGAGATTGGAATTGCAAAAGAAGTTCAAGGGCGATGATCGTTTCAAATTGGGCGAAGACTTTATCGATGAAGAGGAAAAGAACGTTCAACCCAAGGATCTGGGCGATGATATTACGCAGAGCCTCGATGCCGAGAAGGATCAAGCCATGGACGTGCTGCGTGCCATGTTTGGTGACGATAAAGTGAATTCGAAGCCTAAACATCAGAGCAATACGTGGGCTAGTTCAGACAGATTTGATCCGGATGCTGATGATTCTTCCAAGTACCTGGCAGGGGCTGCTGTGGAGGAGGACACTACCACTGTCAAGCGTCAAAATGAAGACGATGATGACGACGACGATGAAGACTTCTTTGGTAAGGGTGGCAAATGCTTCATCACTGTGCATAGACACTCACTACTTTGATTTTTTTTTTTTTTTTTTTTTTTTTTTTTTTTTTTTTTTTTTTTGCAGCTCAACCTAAAAAAGCTGAAAGTGCTATACCTGTTGTGTCCACCGAGAAGCACTTTGAAGTGAACACCAACTTGAAGCCTTTGTTTGGCGATGCTGGAGAAGCACCCTTCACTCTGTTTGGTGGAGACAATGATGACCATGATCAACAAGGACCATCCTTTGGATCAGACAAGAGTAAATCCCTGTTTGGTCATGCTCATGATGATGAGATATCTCCCAGTTTCACTCCCAAGAAGGCAGAAGGTCGACTTGGTTTGGGCGTGCTATTCTTTTTCCATTTAGATGATCCCGCTTTGATGCAAAAGTAAGGTTTTCACGATTCAGCATGCCAAGCTGTACCAAACTAACCATCTCTGCCTATAGGAGCTGCTATGCATATGATTCAGAAGGCGTGTTTCAAGAAAAGACTGAAGAGCGTGATAGTTATGAAAACAAGTGGCGGACCCAAAGACCTGTGATCAAGGAGATTCTCAAGAAGCGACAAAAGAATGCCATCAAAAATCAAAAGAGAAGATCTACCAAATATTTAAAATAGAAAATTGATTCCCATGTAGTTTAACTTTTTTGCTTGTTGTATTATAACATTAAAACTGCCCATTTATTGCATTTTACTTCTTGAGAACTTTGCTTTTGCATGAATTGATCCAATGCCAAAATGTCTAAATAGCCGGCTGTCTAGAGTTACTACAGAGCGGTCCGGGGTCAAATGGATTCGCTGTGTATTTAAGCCAGGGCAACCAACAAAAAAACACTGGTTGTATTAACATTTATAAACCACAACAATGCTGAGGTCGACTTTGACAAAGAGTAAACATCAGCTACTACTGTCAGCAGCTCGCAAACACGCCTGCAGACCCTTGATTGCTCGTTTGCAGCACACAAAGACATCGCCAACAGAGGAACGACCTGGTGTCTTTTCTCCCTTTTTTTCACCTACAGCAGAAGAACAAGCAGAGGAGAAAGCACGGCGCCATTATCCTCGTCAAACCGCCTACGACACAGCGAAATGCAAATCGCCGCCTACTCGCAACAAGATGCTCGTACGTGATTTCATTGACGATTCTCTGTATAACCCCAACTATGGTTATTTCTCCAAACAAGCCGTCATCTTTTCACCCGAGACAGACTTTGATTTCAACAACATGCGAGATCATTTGGAATTCATGAATGTGTTGGGCCAATTGTACAAGGATATCGAAGGAGAGGCTGACGAAGTGGATGAAGTGGCGAGACAAGTGTGGCATACACCCACTGAATTGTTCAAGGTGAGTGCTACATGTAAAGCGAATGCCATGTAGACTGACCCTTTTTTTTTAAGCCGTGGTACGGTTATGCCATTGCTAAATACTTGGTGTCCGAGTACAAATTAAACTTGTTTCCACACAAGGATCTGATTATTTACGAAATGGGTGCTGGTAACGGTACCTTGATGATGAACATTTTGGACTATATTCAACAAAACGAACCGGCTGTATATAAGAGAACACAATACAACATTATTGAAATTTCAGGCAAATTGGCAGAGAGACAGTCAGAACGACAAGATGTGAGGGAGGCCAAGGATCAGCATAAATGTGTCAAGATCATCAACAAGAGTATCTTTGATTGGGATATCCATGTGCCTGATCAATGCTTCTTTTTAGGCATGGAAGTTATTGTGAGCATATTTTGACCACACTTGGAATGAGCAGAGCAACTGACATGCTACCACTATAGGATAACTTTGCTCACGACCTCATTCGTTATGATATCGATACACTCAAGCCTTACCAAGCACTTGTCAGCACAGACGCCAAGGGCGAATACACGGAAGTCTATGAACCTGTAGGCAGCGATCCTTTGATTAACAGGTATCTGGCCATGAGAGACCAAACCCGATACAGATCACCTGTGCTGTCCAAGCACTTGTGGCTCAAATGTCTGCAATCTTTACCATTGGCACCCAACATGACCTCTGCAGAGTTTATCCCCACCAAACTGTTCATGCTACTGGAAACCCTCAAGACACATTTTCCTCAGCACCGACTTGTGCTGTCTGATTTCTCATCGCTGCCTGATGCAGTAGACGGCGTGGATGCACCTGTCGTCCAGACACGTTACAGAGGCACCATGGTGCCTTGCTCTACCTACATGGTGCAGCCAGGCTGGTTTGATATCTTCTTTCCAACCAACTTTGAGCTGCTGAGAGACCTGTATCTGCTGGTGTGCCGTGGATCAAGAGCGGGCAACGACAAGACCGTCAAGGTGTTGACACATCGAGAGTTTTGTGAGCGATATGGCGACGTAGAAAAGACAACCACGCGCAGTGGGGAGAACCCCATGCTTATGTATTATGAAAACATGAAGATGATCATTACTTGAATAAATGCTACAAATGTACATACAGTGCACGTTCCTTTCCATTGAATTCATGTGAATTTCTGCAGCAAAGTGCCTGTTTCCACGTTTATAGCTTACTTAAAACAGACAAAAAAGATGATGTCCTTTAGAATCGAGTCTTGTGCTACTTGGAGTTTAATTGTTTCGCCCTGATTTAAACTATCCGCTTTTCTCTTTTCTCTCTTTTCTCTTGTAGACTTTTTGTAAATCAAGAAATGAACGAGTAATGTATAGCTTCTTGCCAAGAGTGATCAATCAATTAACCCGTGCTTATTAGCTTACATCTTGATTTGCATTCTAAAATCCTAATGGGATTGGCAGAGGTCTTGGCTGATTCCAGGGCCAAGGCTTCCACAGAAGAAATCGACAAGCTCATCAGCAAATGTCCTGCTGTGCCAATGGATAACACAACCACCGAGATCTTGACCAGACATGAAGCCCCTGGATTGGGTGTCATGGTAAGAAAGCGAATGAGCGTATGTAGGAGATCCAAGATCCTATATTAACATTTCAATTAGACTCGTCGAAGCCAACAAACCTTGGCTGCTCTTGTCAAATACGCTGTGAAAGCAAACCAAGAAAGACAGTTGGAACTACTGCCTCGATTGTTAGCTTATGTTCGGCACTTGCCTGCATTTCAATGGGAACCTGTGAGTTTAACTGGCCTTCCGCCTTCCGATGCCATCACCTACACTTTGTTTGCTGGCTTATTGGAGATTGGTGATAGGTGCCCTGAGCAATACGAGGAAATTATTCAGACATTGTGGAAATACGCTGAGTGTATTATTCAGCTCATGTCAGAGAATGGTAATGGGGAGTGCATCTATCAACAAAGGCAAGGAACTGACGCATTGTATCGTTCATGTAGTCGAATTCACCGTGACATTCATCTTGCCTTCATTGGCAGGTCTTTCAAGAGCACTACAACTTTCGCCCTACCTCTACAGACCCAATCAACTACTGGCACTCTGTCAAAACACACAGCCCTTGATTCGAGATGATACATTGGACCTAATTCGAATTTCCATCACCAGCTGCCTTCGAGATGCAGAAGGCACTGCTTACAGCCGTCGTGTGCTCGCTCGTTATTGGGAGGATGGAACACCATTGAGTAGCAACCGGGTGATTCATGACCTGTTGATTGTCTTTAGAAATGTGTTGGCTCGGGTCCTTATTCATATGAAGCCCACAAAAGACACAGTGACGCCTTTGGTGGTCCCTAGAGAGAGATTCTCCAAACTGTACTTGCCGCAAGACATTGAAGAGATCTGGTCTCAATTGATGCAACAACCCGTTCATATCGAAGCAGAAGCACAATTGAGCAAGAGCTTGAAGCACGTCTATTTGATGAGCTTGGGGTATTTTGAGGATATTCACAAGTACGCTGAAAAGAGCATTCAAGAGGGTAGAAAATGGGCTCCGGACGCCTACATGCAAGAGATTATGGGTACCAGTTTGGTAAGTGCACAGTGAGCTTGGGGGGGGGGGAGGGTGGATAGTGATGTAACTTCTTTCTGTGCGTGTATAGCATGTCTCTTCGTTGGCCTCCGTCTATCTCAATCAAGTAGATGATTCTCTCATTGATCATGTTACGGAATGTTTGTTTGATGTGCCACACGTAGCCGATTCTTGGGTCCACATTGCTTCTTTGGATGCTGCTGTGCTACTCGCAATCAAGTAATTATTACCATAATGGGATCTAACGTATGCGACCAATGCTCATCTTTCCAAATCCATATAGCTTCTCAAGATTGAACCATCCAATGACAAACACCATATGCAGATTCTTGGCTACGCCTTCGCCTGTATTTGATCTCCAAACTGAAAAGCGAAAGGAATCTGTCAGTGTACAGCAGTTTGCTATTATTCGATTGGCTCAATGTGTCCAAGTAAGAGCTTGTACGTAATAGTAAACACGGTGCGATACTCACACTCTATAGATAAAACCTGATGCTCAAGTCGCTCAAGCTGCCATCTCTACCGTCTATGCTCTTTTGAATGAAATCACTCGCTACACTAGTGCTGAATCTGGATCTGTGGATAAGATGTCCTTCAACGGCAGCGCCATTGCTGGTGCGCCTGCATTGGAACAGCTTAATGAAAAGCAAAAGCAGCAAGTGTGTGCTAATGTGCTCTCTGCCATTGTAGGTGTTGCCGTCTACTTGAAGGATGATAATGTAAGTGCATTCAGCTCATGATGGAACCTGAATCTGACTCCCATATCTAGATCATCTCTCAAGCTTTCTCCATGCTCGCTCTTCGTCGCAAGACACTATCGCCTGCAGCGACTGCTTCGTTGACCATGCGATTAGTGGACCTTGCTCTTGTCAGCTCCAAAGAGACCTACTGTGAGATTATCAACTTGCTTGCTACCTTGAGTAAAGAGTCTATTTACAGTGAAAACAATCTACTCAACACTTCGGTAAAATCTCCCTCAATGTCTTTTATTCACATGTGTACTCATATCGTTTCTATCTACAGATTCTGGCTGCTCAATTAAGCTTAGCAAAACGCCTAACAGATCGCCCCGAGTACTACCAACTCTATCTCAACAGCTTGCTCAACTTGTTCATTGAAAGTGGCAATTCCATTCAACGCACCATGACAAAGCACAAGAAGGAGAACGAATACCCCTTGGCCCAGAAGCTCGGCCATTTGTTACCCGTCATCAGTGCCCTTTTAGAGCACTCAGACTTCAATCCACACCTACACCCCAGCGAAGAAACGGTTTCCTTGTTTAGAAACATGTGGTTCCATTGCGTGCTCTTTGGCTTTGTTACTGAATCCATGTGGATCCGCGAATGGCACCCTGCTATGCTACAAATCGCTAAAAAGACGCCCGTCTTGGTGATTGAAAGCACTACCAACTACCTGGAAAGCGATTTAGAGCATAATTCTGTCTTGCGTGCCAGCAACGACCATGGCTTGCTGCAAATGCGCCAGAAGCTGACCAATTTTTTGCCTAGTTTGGCGTACGATATCAAGAACTTTTCTTTTGCGCAGGTCATTTTTGCATTGAGTGTCTATCATGTGGAGATGATGCGAAGTCGTATGGGCGACTGCTCTTACATGTTGCGTTATTTTATGAACGATGGTGTCAATACAAGCGCTTTGATCAACTGCCTCGAGACCATCTTTGAGCGTGTGTCTCATGCTTTTGTTAAGGATGCTTCTGTCAAGGCGCTCAGTCAAAACTTGGACGAACAGCTGAGAAGCCAGACAGCCGCTCTTTTGGAGTTGTGCTGTCATAAACGAAAGAAGGTCCATTTGATGGCTATCAAAACGGTGGAACGCATTGTCGCTTCCTTTGGTCAAGTATTCACTGATGGATCCTTGGTCACGTTGCTGTTGGAGTTGGTACAACTGACCTGGCTGGCTTGTGAGGCTGAATACCGTGATGAGGTAAATGTGTATTCAACCAGTATAATGTGAACCAACTCACATATGAATAGTACTCTCCTGTGTTCCATTTCACCTCTGCTCGCGTGGGCGTCACTGTTGAATTGGGCGATTCATACGTGTATCGTAGAGAAGTATGCACTCACATCTATGACAATGCTCGTAAATGGCTTCAAGTTGCCCTTGTAAGAGCACCCATTGAAGTCTCTGGATTGCTGCAAGACTACCTCGCCGAATTCAGTCGATTCTCCAATGACGGTTTGACGGATGTTGTACACATGGGCCGTTCTTTGGCTCTTGAAATGGGTAAAACCACTTCCAAGAGCGAGCTTTCCATTGGTAAGACATCCACTACATGTGTTGTTAGCTTTACTGACGCGGATAATATAGACTTTGTACCCAAGGTGCCTTCCTTATTCCCTGATGAATCATCCAACTTTATCGGCAGCTTCAGATCAAGACAGTTCTACTCAGGTGAGATCAGTGGTATCGAATACTTGATTGGACTTCGTGCTCGTGCTGCAGAGTCCGAGTCAGGCAACGAACTGTCAGATCAAATCCCCTTCGTCGTTGAAGCACTTGCCAGTCTCACTCAAGACATCACGGATCGCAAGACTGTGCCTGTGGATCGTCTCTATAGAGTGATGCATCGATCTGCTGGTTATGCCATTGCCTTGCCCAAAGTGAATGCAGACATCATCAGACATTTGGTGCATATTCCTGTGCTCATGTTTACGCCAGAGTCCATGGACATTGGTACCACTGTTTGGAATTGGATGCTGGTAGAAAGACCTGAAGTAGAGAACAAGTTGATGATTGAAATGATGAGCATGTGGGGCTGGGCTCAACGTCATCGCAAGGGCTTATTTTCTCCTCTCCTCAAGTAAGTTGAATGACACATCTGCTATGACCTACTTGATATTAATCTCTGTGTATAGTGTCAAGCATCCATTTGTCAGCAAAATGACTTACTCTCCGTCTGATAAGGCTGTCCGTGATAGCAACCATCGCATTGCCACCTTCTTATTCACACCTCACATTAGCTGGATCAAGTTCTTGAGCAGCCGTTTCTACGCTATCCGCCATCGAAGCAAGCACCTTGTCAACATGTTTATTCGTCTGTTGCAAGACTCCTTCCAGAATGCCAACTTGATGAGCACACACTCGCTTGCTCGCTACGCGCGTTTCTCTCTGCTGCGCTTGGGTTTGAAGGTTCTGCAGTCCACGCGCTTGGAAGCACTGGCTGAATACAAATTGCGTTCGTTGGTCTATGATGCTGCCTTTGATTGGTTTAGTCAGAATCCCAAGTGGCATTACGGCGCAAGAAAGAGCTTGGCCTTGATGGAGCACAAGATGATGACTGACTTCTATAATGCCGTCGTCAATGATAGCCCTTCGTTGAGTTATTTGGTTACTTGCAGTTCCATCAAGAGTGCCAATCCCAAGATCACTGCTGGCCATTATATGTTCCTAAAGGACAAAACCAAGGATGATGTGATGAAGCACCACACATATGCACATAAACTGTTGCTGTTGTTTATCGAGAGTGAGTTGACCAAGCTCTCTGTGTGGTGTAATCCTTTGAACACAACTGGATCAGGTAACCCTGTCATCTTTAGTGGTAGTACTGAGCGCTCCATGGTGACTGAAGTAAGCCCCTTGCAGTCGTAGATGGTAGCATCCGTAAGCTAACGGTTATTTGTAGGAGTCCTGGAAAGAAATTGTTCGATTTGCATGGACCTTATCGCCCAAATTAGCAGTACAAATGGACACTCGCTTTGTTCAACCTATTGTCAGAAAGGAATTGCACAGACTGATTGCCAACAACTCGCTGGATGTTGTGGACGTACCTGAAGCACTTGTCATCTTGCTGGGTGATGGTGTCTCGTCTTCAGCCAAATTGGACCTCAAATACCTGCAGTACTGGGCTCCTGTGCCTGCCATCACTGCTGCCAGTTACTTTTTGCCTGCTTACGGCAACCATCCCCTCATCTTACAATATGCTATGCGTAGTCTCGAGTACCACCCCATTGACACAGTCTTCTTTTACGTACCTCAGATTGTACAAGCACTGCGTTATGACGCTTTGGGCTATGTGGAGAAATACATTCTGCAAGCTGCTGCCACATCTCAGCTGTTTGCTCATCAAATCATCTGGAACATGAAGGCCAACTTCTTTGTGGACGCTGATAAGGATTGCATCAAGCCTGACACACTGAAGCCCACGTTGGAGAAGATTATCGAGACCATGGTGGCTTCGTTCACGGGTGAGGATCGTGCCTTTTATGAGAGAGAGTTCAAGTTCTTTGGTGAAGTTACTGCTATCTCTGGGTATCTGAAAGAGTACATTAAGCATGGCCAGAATGAAAAGAAACCTCTTCAAAAGGTAAGTCTCTATATTGAGGTAGCATACCGTTGCGCATACTCATCATCTTGTCGCCACAGAAACGTCTTGACGAAGAGCTCGCCAAGATCAAGGTCGATGTGGGCGTCTATCTTCCTAGTAACCCAGATGGTCATGTCGTGGATATCAACCGTACCTCTGGTCGTCCTCTTCAGAGTCATGCCAAGGCGCCTTTCATGGCTACTTTCTTGATTGAGAAAGAAGAGGAAGATTTGAACCAGATCAGCAGCGCACTCATCAAGGCATCTGACGACATTGAAATCCGCAAGCGCACTACTCAAATCTGGCAAGGTGCCATCTTCAAGGTCGGTGATGATTGTCGTCAAGATGTATTGGCTTTGCAGTTGATTGCTGTCTTCAAGAACATCTTTACCAGCATTGGTCTTGATCTCTACGTCAATCCGTATCGTGTGGTGGCTACTGCACCTGGTCGCGGTGTCATTGATGTCATTCCACGCTCGATTTCCAGAGATCAATTGGGTCGTGAAAAGGTCAACAGTCTTTACGACTACTTTGTCGCCAAGTACGGAGGCCCTGAATCCATCCATTTCCAACGTGCTCGTATCAACTTTGTTCAAAGTGTGGCAGCTTACTCGGTCATTTCTTACTTGCTCCAAATCAAGGATCGTCATAACGGTAACATCATGTTGGACGATGATGGCCATATCATTCACATTGATTTTGGCTTCATCTTTGATATCGCACCTGGAGGTATTGGATTTGAAAGCTCGCCCTTCAAATTAACTGCTGAAATGATCCAGGTGATGGGTGGCGGATCAGAGGAGCAGGCCTTCAAGCAGTTTTCTGAGCTTGTGATCAAGGCTTATTTGGCTTCTCGTCCTTATGCAGAGCTGATCATGCAATTGGTGTCTTTGATGTTGCAGTCTGGTTTACCTTGCTTCAAGGGAGAAACCATCAAGAGAATGCGTACACGTTTCCAACTTGATAAGACGGATCGTGCTGCTGCTGACTTCATGTTGATGCGTATCAAGGATTCGTTTGCCAATCAACGTACAGTGCTGTATGATTACTTCCAGAAATTAACAAATGGTATTCCCTACTAATGATTAAAAATGCACACAAAAAGTGTATTGTTCTAAACATTGCCAATAAAATATTTTGATATTCAATAACAATTTCGTTTTATTACCGCTATCAGATGCACTCAATAAATGACATCTAATATCTACTATCTCTGGAATACGTTCTGGATCCACTACGTCTAGTATCCTCTCTGGATCTGGATCTGGACCTAGATCTGTATCTATCTCTTCTCTTATAATCCGGACTAGCGCTTCTTTTGCGGCTGTATCTATCTCGAGACAGACTTTTATCATCATCACGGTGTCGACTGTGACTCCTGCGACGACGCTCGTAATCATCCACATCGTCTCGGTCGTCTCTACGATAGCTTTTTCTCGAAGGGCTCCTTGATCTGCTTCTATAGCGTCGTCTACTTGAGCTGCGATCTCTGCTGCGATCACGGGAGTAATATCTGTCATCTCTGTCTCTGTCATTACGACGGGTGGATGTCTTTCTCTTTTCCATGTCGTAATCCTTTAGCTTTTTCTCGAGATCTCTAGCAATAGGTACAGGGATACGAGGCAGCATGGTGTTTTGAAACTTTTGTTCTGTAATCAACATGCGACACAGCTTGCCAATCGTGATCTTGGTAGGGTTGACACCGCCACTGATGGTGATTTCCTCTTCGTCTTCTAAATAATACTGAAACCAATCCCAGAGTTGAGCTGGTGCACAGACGTATCTCAAGTACAAGAATCCAATGGCACGAATATAACTAATGCATAGCGTTCCCGTCAGCGTGTTGATATTGAAATCGAATTGGCATACTTACGGTGAATCGACATGGTCAATCATGTTTTCGATTTGCTTGATAGTCAATCGTAATGTCCACATTTTGAACAAACAGCAATAGGCAGTTGAGGGTTGTGTGCCTTTAACAAAGGGAGCTAGGAGTGGCAATAAAGGTTAGTTTCTATCTGCACCACGCATAGTTGCGATTGACGTACTACTCACATAATACATAGACTATGTCAAACGAAAAAAAGAGAAACAGAGCGTCAATAAAGCCCATTTACACACGGCATTGCTACTTACCTTCATTGTAGATCTCATCCACAATTTCATGAAAGGTCTTTTTGTTACTAGATAGATCATCAATATACGCGCTACTATTACACAATCACTCCAAATTGCACTTACTATAAAGATCGAAAGTAGGGCGAAGACAAGATGTTTTGATAAATGATGGCATTCAAGTTCATGGTCGTCTCATTTCCCCATGTTTCAAGCACATTGTTGGCTTTCTTGTTGCTCATATTTGCTTGATGTAATGTCTGGAGAGAAAGAAGGAAAAAAGAAATCCTCCTCCCCACTTCAATGTATCTAATCTGACAAGCAGGCTACTGGACATTTTTCAACTACCGGTGTTATAAAAAGCAGTGTGAACTAGGGTTCATGCACTAGTTTGCTTCTCTTCCTTCATTCCATTAGTTAATATCATGGAGGAGTTTCTGACCTGGGCAAAGAGCCAAGGCATTGATTCAACAGCTACCATCAAGAAGACGCCACACGCAGGCTATGGATTGTTTGCCACTCAAGATTCATGCAACACTCCCGTTCACATTCCATTCAAAGCACTGTTATCGTCTCAAAAAGCCATCCAGGTAGAGCCATTTGCTGCAGCCCTTAAAACTCTATACAACACAGACAATTTGGAACAAGTGTCGCATACACACGAAAAACAAGTACTGTGCTTGTTTCTCATCTACTGCCAATTCTTTGATAAAGCGACTGCATGGAAGCCTTACATGGACATTCTACCGAGCATGGATTTCTTCAAGGAGAACCACTTGCTGTTCAACCTTCACTATCTGCAGGGAACCAGTCTAGAGAAATCTACCCGGGCCAAGCTCAACAAGTTAAAACGCGAGCTAGAAGCAATCAATCAAGCCGAAAGTAGCTGGCTATCCAAGATCGATATTGACATGTACAAATGGGCAGACTGCATCTTCTGGTCTCGTGTAGTAGGCATTGGTGGTGCTTTTGAAGAGAATGATACAGCTCACACGTCAAACATGGTCATGATTCCTTACTTTGATTTCGCCAACCACTCGGTCGATAGACCCAACATGCGATGGCAACCCACTTCTGATGGCGGCATTGATCTCGTTACGTACCCAGACATGGTCAAAAAAGGGGATGAATTGCTCTTGTCGTATGGATCCAAGCCAAACCAGGAGCTATTGTTTTTGCATAGTTTTTGTGCTGAAAACAACCCCAATGCTTCATGCTTTACATTGCCCGTTGCTCCCTTCTTGCATCCTGAGGCGGATCTTTTGAACATGCCTAAAATACGCTGGCTGCAGCAATCCGGTGTCAAACCTACATTGACGCTATCCCAATCAAGCAAGGATGCTGATTTAATGGACATTGGCTGGTCGCATGAATCCATCCAGCTCATGTATTTAGTGGTCATGGATGAAGACAATGGTTTGCGTTTTGGTTTGGATGAGCAAGAGAATGTTGAACTATACATACAAGATCAGAAAGTGACAACACTAGATACCTTGCAGCAGATGACAAACGACATGAACCTTTTGCCAGTGATACAACTCAGAGTCATCATGCTGTTGATAGACGCTCTTCAGCATCAGTACTCTGTGAATACAGAGCATGCCCTGGTAGATGACACACCGATTGGAAAACAGGCACTGATATACCGAAATGAAGAAAAATCACTATTGGAATCAGCATTGCAAACACTCACCAAGCTGTCGGATAAATTAATGCAGAACCCCACAGTTGTCAAGTACCTCAAAAACGCTCAATAAGTATCGAATAAAGAAAATTAGCCTCTGTGCAAAAGTCTATCATCAAGTTGCTGATTATTATAATTGGATTTGCATTTTTGATCTGGATATGGTAAGTGTGACAAGAGACGAAAGTGATTATATATGAAAAAAAAAAGTAATATATAGAAAAAGGTGGGCTTTGCTGATATAATAAGGAAGAGAGAGAGAGAGAGAGAGAGAGAGAGAGAGAGAGAGAGAGAGAGAGAGAGAGAGAGAGAGAGATAGGCAGAGGAGATATATAAGAAAGATTAAGAGATAATATACGGGGAATGTTTAAAGTTGAAAGAGATAAGCTGGTATTGTAACTTTTATCGACATTGCCATAGTTTGATGGTTTGATCTACACTGCCTGTTGCTACGACTGGACTTGTATGGCAATAAGCTATACATGTAACAAAGTGAGAGTGCGCATCCAAGGTTTTCGTGCATCTGCCTGTCTTTAGGTCCCAAATTTTGATAGTTTTGTCGTCTGATGCACTGAGCAGGTATTTGCCGTTGGGATGAACAACGAGTCCTCTAATCCAATTATCATGGCCGACCATTGTGTGCAATAACTGTCCATTTGTAGTCCATAACTTGATGGTTTTATCTCGAGATCCTGTAATCACATACTGGCCTGGTAACTGATCCTTTGACTTATTCTAATACGCAAAAAAAAAAGACAGAAAGAAAGAAGAGTCATCAGTACATGTCCCTGAAGTGTTTGATCCATATTGCAAACAACATACCTCATCTCCAATGAGTTCTTGAATGTATGGGTATGAAACGATGGGTGCAAAGATGGCGCATTCAAGAACATGCTCATGGCCCCTAAACTCCATTTTTGCCTCTCCTGATTGAATATCCCAAAGTCTAGCAGTCTAGCAGTACTGAATTTTAGTATAAATGCGATCAACCTTCAATTTGCAACCTACTTGATCGTTTGATGCTGTTAACAAGTATTTGCCGTCTTCGCTGGGTGAGACTGATCTGACCCAATCCAAATGTCCACTCAATGTCTTTATACAATACCTAAACACCCAGCATAAGGATCTCCATTTGCTTGACTTGTGTAAACCCACTTACCCTGATGAGGCATCCCAAAGTTTGATGGTTTTATCACGTGAGGATGAGATGATGGTATCGCCCGAAGGCAAGTAATCAACTGAAGATACACTGTGATCATGACCGTATAGAGTTTTGACACACTTGTAATCATTATTAACGTCCCATACTTTAATTGTGAGATCAGCTGAACAGGATACTAAAAACATGAAATGTAAATAAACCGAGTAAATAAGCGCAATCCAATATTTACCCAAAAAGTTTCCCTTTGGATCAAATGCCACATCTTGCACTGCTTTCGTATGCCCCTTTAACGTGCGTTCAAATTCACCAGTTTCATAATCCCAAATCTTGATGGTTGTGTCCTCTGAAGATGAAGCTAATATCTGATAGATTGGATGAAAAACCACACGAGTAATAGGACTCCTATGACCTGTCATGCTCTGCTTTTCAGGGGGACGAGGGATCCAATCGACAGAACTTGTTTGTTTCCTGATAGGTGCATTATTGATTTCTTCTTGCATTTGTGCTGATTTCGTCTCTAATTCCATAATCTACTTGACTGTATAAGAAGCTTACGTTTCGCAGCTTGAAGAGTGTGCGTATGCTATACCTTTTTTTGCAACCGTATGACAGAAGTCCATTTTTTCTCTAGTAGACCTGAATACTTTTGCTTGGGGTCAGAAGTGAAATCTTCATTATGTGTTTCAGATTTCAAGCTGTTGAACGATTCTGTAAAGCCACTGGCGCTTAAATAGTCTAAAATAGCCTTATGTCTAGTGATAAAAAGAAGCAGGGTTAGAGATGTTTGACATGTGGAAACAAAGGGGTTGAAATGAAAAAAGGGGAACGGGGCAAGAGTAAACCACCACCAAGATGAGTCAACCCGTACAAAAAAAATCAACATGTAACGTGAATAGCAACTTACAGCTCGTCTTTCTGGCGGTCAGAAAGAATACTAGTCATAATGATAGGATGAAATTAAGGAAAGAAGGGTTTAAGAGAGAGAAAGAGAAAGAAAGAAGAATAAAGGTAACCAAGAGAAAAAAGAATTTTTCCCTGATATTTGTGTGTTGTATACGGGTGTGTGTACAATTCACAATAATATGACGCACTTTAAATAGAAAAGTACTTGATTTACCTATATTACGGAAACAATCAACGGAATTGAGCCGAGATAGTCTGTTCATGGTATGAAACGAAAGTTTGTATCTGGAAGAGCTCTGACTCCCATCACTTTGTCCATAGCGTGCATTGCTAGTTTGTACACTAACTTGTGGATTGCTTCCATCATTTTGTCCCCACTGCGCCATGAATACGACCTTGTTGCAAATACACAAATGTTGGATGTGAAACCAATCATTGATTGTGCTACTTCAGGTCCAAATGAATGAATCAAACATAGATCCATTCCATGCAGTCAGTCAATCAGTCAGTCAGTCAGTCATTGCCATGAGAGAGCGGTACTGATGTATAAGCTTCATCATAAGAGAGGGCTTGCCTGGAGTGGTTCAGCCATGTGCTTGTTTCAGTGGCGGATAGCTCTAATGAGACGTTACATTGATATTAAGTTGACATTTCTGGCGGCTCAAGTGAATTTTGAGATGGCTTGACAAGATATTAAATATACATTATTGATTTCAATCAAGATGCAACTGATTCGCGTTATACTCTCATGTAGACAATGTGCATTCAAGGACAGTGTAGGCTGGCATTTGAAGCAAGATGGTCCAGACTTTGACTTTAAGCTTAAGAATTGTACGGCACTTCCTTTATTTGCAACCACACGTTTACTAGTAGCAAAAGTACCGTGCCTTCATCGATTGTGTTGCCAGTGCAGCTAACCTACACTTATCCTGTAGAGACCCTCCATAAGCAACTTCTTGCCGGGATCTGGCTTTCTGTGGTGTCTTGTGCCTTCATTGACGAGAACAACTCACATATGACTACAATGCAAACCACTATTGCCTCTCACTACTCAAAAATATACAATCCACAGCACAATCTGAAAGCATTTGTGCCTTGATTTCTCGCGTTAGAAGCCGTTTTAGATCGTCAGAATAGCACCAAACAATTGCTCTCGTCTGGCAGTTACTTCCTGATACCTTTGCTCATCTTTTTGGGGACCAAAAAAAAATGGGCAGAAATCGACCAAAAAGCATGAGGTACTTTTTTTTTTTTTTTTTTTTTTTTAAATTGTTTTTATTGATTGCTCCGTGTAAGTAGGTCCCTAGGGCACTACCAAGAGGCGGGCGCAATTGATATGATATTCAATTGTATTTATGATAAAGCGATAGATGACAGGAACAGATGATAGATGGCAATTGTGATTAGAGAATTACAATTGCTTGTGAATTTCAGTTTGGGCATGTAGTTGAAGGAGCTCGTTCTTGATCTGCTGGACCACATCGATCCATATAAATGGAGTCGAGTGAAAGATCATACGAACTTGAGCTCGCCAAATGTTGCCAAGTGTTACCAGTACGACCATGTGAGCAGTGATGTATGATTTGGAGACATACTTGATGTTTTCAAAGTCAAGAGAGGAACAGGCTTGGATAATATCACCAATCGAAACGGTTGGCCACAAGAATTCAAAGATGATAGCTTTCCAGATGGATGCCTTACTGGAACAGAGGAAAAGCAAATGTACAGCATTTTCTTCGTTACCACAGATCGGGCAGAGAGGTGACTCAGCTATCTCAAAGTAGTGTAGCAGGCGTTTGGTCGGGATGGTGTGGGTGAGGAAGCGATAGATGACATTACGGTGGACAAGGTTCAGTGACAGAGACCAGAAGAAATTCCAGTTGGACCTGGCGATGCTGGAGGTGTGAGCCTCGATGCATGCTGTGCGGAATGTTCTGGTTGAAATCTGTCGAGTGAGTCCTTGCTGGCTGTTGAAGTCATAGGAGTCAATGAACGGTTCGAAGTAGCATGAGGTACCCCTCATGGTTTCCATCGAAAATCAAACGATCGCGTTTTTGACCTTGATAATAAAGAATTTTACTATGGTATATATTGAACCAAAATGTTTCTATTGATCTAACGTAACATCTGAAATTTTCTTTGTGGGACTTTTGATATGTAAAATTTCGACTTTTTGGCCAGAAACCTCATTTCATATTTTCATAATTCGCTCAGTAAATTTATTCAATACATTTACCTTACTTGGTACCATTGGATGCGTCTTGAAAAGTACTTTGAGATTGTATTAGGAAGCAATTTTTTTTGTAGGGGAAACGAGCTCCAGGTTTTTATTTAAAGTCCTTTAAATGTCATACTGAGGGATAGAAAAGACTGTTGGTGGACCCAATGTCTGCAATGAAGGGGAATAAGATATTTTTGTACTAAGTTGGGAAAGTAATCTACTACTAATAAGGTGCGACTCCTAGGGCCAGTACAGTCTTGCGGAAATCATCAAAATATAGATCATGGATAAGAGTACAAAACACCAAACGAGGACATCAGTACTACGTCAAAAAATCAAACAACTTGCGTTCACCAGGATTTGAACCGGGGATCCTCCCGTTGGCATACGGGAGTTCTACCACTTCGCCCTACCACCAGGGACTGTATTAGGAAGCAAAGGATGATCTTCACAACTTATATAGTCGAATCTTATAAAATAATTGAATCAAGTCGAAGAAAGACGCTTTCTGTCCAATCTTGAACAGAAATAATGTTCTGGATTGGAATCAATTTTGGCGGCTGGTGCGGCCGGCTGGCAGACTCAATGCCCTCCTTTCCATCAGGAAGGCAATACAGTAATAGATACTTTTGAAGCGTATGGAAAGTAGGCGGCAGATCATATAGCATTATCGTTAGCTATGCTGCTCTTTTTGAATCTATATTTGGTAACGCCAGTCTATCAAAATACTTGTTAGATCAATTTCTTTCCTTTTTGAGGCTTTGACAGTGTTTAGGGACCATAAATTTATTATGTTATGATATTATATACAGGCAAAATCTCTTGACGTTAAATTATATGTATATGACTAAATTATGTACAGGCTTTAAAATACATTGGTCATAGCAATCAATGGACAGTACAAGCTTTGAAACAAGATGCAATCATAAAAGAGCATAATATTGAAGCTAATGACAAGACGTGGTTGTTTTTTTTATTAATGTGTATTTGAGTTTATGAGATCACCATACTTGATGGATTAAAATATTTCAGATTTTTGAGGCTATTTTGACTTGTATAGATAGAGGTAGCAGAGATATAAGAACGACTTGGCCTTGTATAGATGTCAGGCATTAATTGTCTTGATAATTGATTGAGTAAGAGGAAGCACAGATGAGAGTAGGGCTTGACCTTGTATAGATGTAGAGATGGTATATTTGAACAGTCTTGTCATTTTAGGAGCTTGTAGGAGGCACAGAGAACTTGGCTTGATAGCATTTGGAGAGGACAGCTTGCTTTAAATGAGATAGAACATGAGATGGCAGAGGTAACTAGATAAAGATGAGATGAGTACACAAGTACTGTGGCATGAGTGCGTAACAAACCATTTGGGCAAAGAAAATTGACCATCAATAAAAGGAACCAACACTATATAAACAGGTACCAAGGTGTAAACTTGCTTCACCTATCACAAGATTATCGACACGCTCAAGACACCTTTATCTCGGATCATAGGGCTGAACCCAATTCTCGTCGGCAATAAAGCCTGTGGTCATCCCGTAGCATGACCAAAGGATTTGTCCTGCAGTCTACTCATGATTATGAAGCTGTGATCCTACTCAGTCCCTACAAAAAAGTAGTTTTTCGGCACTATGTAATCAATAGGTTAGTCAACATGGCTCATACGTCCAACAAGATAATAACTTACTCGCACAGTTCACCAAGGTCTGCATGTATCAAAGATAGTGTGGCCTTTTTCTAGCATGGACCAAAAGACGTAGAGAGGACCATGGATTTGTAAGGCATTGTATGTAGCAGTAGTAGAGGCCAATAGACAGTAGAGTATTTGAATTACTTGACCATATGTAGAGAGAGAGAGAGCCCAAATGTCTTGTAGAGAGTTTGTATGTATAGAGTATTTTGCTTGTTGTAGAGAGATGAGATGAAGAAGAAGAGGGAAAAGCTGTTGAAAAAAATCCCTATTTATATCCTTCTCATCGACTTTCATGTGAGTCTAGTATCCTTGCCACACTCAAATTCGTTTCCTTTTACTTTTCTCCACGATATGCTACTTTGAGCGCGTGAAAGTAGTACCATTTTGACGTTTGGCACTTGCTCTATTTGATCCGCTTCGTCCGAGGCTTTCAACTGTTTTCTGTCTCGAGTTATGTCCATTTTGCTACTTCAAAAAGCCCTTTTTCCACCTTCACATGAAACGAGTTCCCCCATCTCTTCCTAGATGCAATTAACAGAAAACTTCTCACGGGCTCAGCCTCATCAAAAAGTAAACAAAAAATGTCATTTGACACTGAAACAAATGCAGCTGGTTGCTTGATTAAGTAATCTTTCTCTACCTCCCCTTAATTTCTCTCTCTAAAATTACAGTTCTCGATCCTTCTCTCTTTTTGTTTACATCAGTCATAAACTGTCCATCTAATCAGACAATACGAGTGTTAAGGTTGGCTTACTTGCCGTTTACATCACATCGGAGCCAGCATAACTGATTCTGGACCAAGAAACAAGTGTACACCTCGGAAAACAAGCGTGCCATATAAATATTACTGCGGCAATCTCCATGGAATGGAACATAATGGATTGTTTTCGAACCAGTGCAAGTCATCTTGTTTCCAACTATCATGGTTGCTGTCAATGATGTCAATCAAGTGTTTGCGCTACTAGATATCATCAATATGCCCACATTTACATAGTGAGTTGGTCATTCTTGTGTATCATTCCTGCAACCTGTTTTTAGTTCTTATGCCAAGAGCATGCATCTCATAAAGAGTCAACACGTTTCATATCATTTTTTTTAGGGATCGTCCTCTTTTAGAAGGTATTCGGATCATGCAAGATCAAAATAATTCATTTGCTAAGCAAAATTGAGCTTTAAAAAAATCACATGTAAAGTAAACAAAAGGACATGAATTCAAGAGAGATAAGCAAGTAAATGGCCAATTTGTGGTCAAAGAGAGGATATTTTACTAGAAGGTATGTACATCATTAGAAAGCAAATTGCTCGAGGAATTCAATGGTACTATTTTCAGGGTTCTAAGTAAAGTACACATTGCGAAATTCATCAAACAAGGCCGTGGGATTTCCAAAAGAAGGAGGTTTCTGAATTAAACTTCACCTGCAATATCATTTTTATCTGTGTGCTATTCTATTTCTTTGGATCATGTCACGCTCCTCTTACGTCACCAGACTGTCCTTTTTGGGTCTCACGTTGGGTACGCTATCCATTTGAGAAGGAGTCTCGCTTTCTCGTATAATCGTTTCTGTGGGTATCATTGCCGTTATATTATAGGGCTTTGAGCAATCAAGGAGAGTCTTCTTTTAGCCAGCCAAAACGGATTACAATCCCGCTCGACTTTCTGTCATGATTCGTTAATTTTGGATCCTTTTGCGATTTGATCGACTTATTTTAGAAGATTCGACTATGAAAGTTGTTGTGATCATCCTTTACAGCCTTAAGAGTCCCTGGTGGTAGGGCGAAGTGGTAGAACTCCCGTATGCCAACGGGAGGATCCCCGGTTCAAATCCTGGTGAACGCAAGTTGTTTGATTTTTTGACGTAGTACTGATGTCCTCGTTTGGTGTTTTGTACTCTTATCCATGATCTATATTTTGATGATTTCCGCAAGACTGTACTGGCCCTAGGTGTCGCACCTTATTAGTAGTAGATTACTTTCCCAACTTAGTTCAAAAATATCTTATTCCCCTTCATTGCAGACATTGGGTCCACCAACAGTCTTTTCTATCCCTCAGTATGACATTTAAAGGACTTTAAATTAAAACCTGGAGCTCGTCTCCCCTACAAAAAAAAAATTACAGCCTTAAAATATCTAGAAGAACTTTTCAACGCGCATCCAACAGTGTTGGGTATAATAGATACTAGCCGATCTATCTCGCTACGCTCGATGACGGCGTCGCCCTGCGGGCTTTCACCGAAGACATTTCAAATCAGAAGAGATAGTAAAACTCTGCTATAAAAGTGCATTTTAAACAATGACTATATTAGGCATGAAGCTTGATTTAAACGTCAGAAATTTGGAGGTACAAATCAATATTTTTTATGAAGCATTTACGTTATATTATTATAAGACTTCTTGTTTACTACATCCTCCGTCCGAGTTGCATTTTCTGGCGGCAGAACTGTGATACTATTCGCGGATGCTGCTCTTGAGATGGCGACACAGAGCTGGCCATGCGTAAACACAGGACTTTTATGAGACCTACAGCGATTTTTTTGAGAGGTTATCATTGCAAAAGACACCTATATAGGGAAAAACTCGCAAAACAACCAAATAAAAAAGGATTCAAGCTAATCGATTGTTCTTACAAATTCATGATCCCCAATCAATCAGCATCGCAATCATCATTGCCATCAACAGAAAGGCCTTTGGTCAGCCAGCAGCAATGCCGCCGCCAAAATTGATTCACACTCAGATTATTTTTTTCTGTTCAAGATTGGACAGATTTTGTCTTTTTTCGACTTCTTTCATCTATTTTATGACATTCGACTATATAATCTGTAATGATCATCCTACGCTTCCTAATACACTCTTGGAGTACTTTTCAAGGCGCTTCCAACGATGCCAAGTAAAATAGATGTTTTGACTGAATTTAATGAGCAATTCCAAAAAATCTGAAATAAGGTTTTTGGCCAAAATGTCGAAATTTTGCATATAAAGACCTCATAAAAATGGTTTCAAAAGTTGCTTTGGGTTGAGAGAAACATTTTGATTTATTATGTACCATAGTAAAAGTCTTCATTTTCAAGGTGAAAGATGTGATCGTTTGATTTTCGATGAAAACCATGAGGTA